CACAAATATCCGATCAGCAGTAAGCTAGTGTTCGAAAGCCGATCATGAAGACTGACATTTCACACAATAATGTTTCTTGATTGCGTCAATGGAGGGTACAAGAGAAGTTCAAATAGGCACCGTGCAACGAGGAATGACAACGTCTAGCGAGCGCTGTATGTCAGCTGGTCGGAAAATCCGTTAACGGTTAGACATGTGTGTATCTCGATAAGATAGAAGGTAATCTCTTTGCTTGTCCTTTCAAATTTGCTGAGCGTTGTCTTCTTGTACATTAAAAAGGCAGTCGATTCGCTCAAGATCCAGGGCAATGATCAACTAATATTTTTTTTTAATTTTCACTTGACGCAATAATAAACAGCACTCAGCAAAAAAGTGATTATATAGAGTTCTGACTGTCTGACAAGGTAATAGAACGGCATTGAGTGAACTGCATTAGGTATTCGTAGTACGAGTAACGCGTAAAAAAGTGGTGACTAATTTATTAGCCTTGCTGATAACTAAAAAAGATGGCCGAACAAAATTTATATGCATTATTAACATATGGAACATTTAACAATTCTTCGAAGTTGTTTCCAAACGTGTCTCAGCAAATCTTAATGTAGCCAGGTCAAAGATACCTTACGAAACTGCGGTTATAAAAACAGTGTTTTGTATGTGCCTCGACCAAGATTTCATTTATTTTTTCCGACGCACGCGGTCAGTTTCAATGTATGAACAAAGTTTCGGAATCATTTCTCCACATCAAGAAATTATCCAAACTTTAGGGTTTAGACGGGGTAGATCTTGCTGGATCCATTTGGGTGTACACTTACGAAAGGGTGCAGTTTCAATATGCCATGGCAAAGATTTACAAGCACTGAAATTTCAACCATCTATTGCCGTATGTATGTTCATAATAACTATGGCAACTTGTTCAATGAGAACTCAGGTCCACTTAATCATTCCCTTCGCAGAATGTCGAGCAGTGCTTGTTCAGCACTGCAGTCAGTCCACCGGTTCTCATTAAACTGCTTGCGTTCATATCAGTCGCAATAGCGTTGAGCGTCCAGAAACACAACTGCATGCCGCAATCAATCTATGCAAAACAAACGGAAGTAGAGCATTATCCAAATGTGGGCTAAGAGAGAAACAATGGTTCTTGAGAAATTTGTTCTTTTCTATGATTTTGCTTGAGGTTGAGGGTTTCTGAACCATACTCTAAGGTGTAGCTCAACAGATTGCCCTTTCCAGTAGAAAACAAATTAAACCTACTGAGATATTTAAAACTAACAAGCTTCAAATATAATGCAGGTTAGAGCTTCTTTTTTTAGAGAAACCTAGCTCACAAAATATATATTGAAAAATTCGCAAACGAAGCTTAGGTTTCACACACAATATAATTTTCAAGTTCTTTCGACTTTTCTTAGGCGTTCGAGTTGCTTCAGGCTTCTTTAGTTTTACTTCACGGCTTCAGTTTTAATTTTATGATATTCTAAATTTTTATCTGTAAATATCTATGAGTGGATCTATGAAGAGAACCATATACACTTAAAGACATCAGCATAGTATAATTAAGGTATCAAAAGGCGCTCAAAAATGTTATTTTTTAACCGTCTTAGCTTGATACAAATTATTAAATGAAACGAGCAGCAGCTACATCGATTAAATAGTATATCAGATGTCTCTTTCCCGCAATGGTAAAAGAATACGCAAAGCTATCTTTAAAAAACTTTTTCCCATATATGGTATAATTGTTCGCTGATTCCATTGAATTGTTCTGATTCTGCACCTATTCTTATTTACCATATTACACATTGACTTTTTCGCGCACGTTGGCATAATTATTAGATTGTATAACATTGCTTGTATAACACCACGTAGGAAATAGAACAGGTCAGCTGATGCCACGGTTAGCTTCTGCTAAAGTACGCAACAATACAAAGAAAGTGATAAATTGTCGTGTAAGAGCGAGCACATCTTTGCAATCGGAAGACCATTCTATATTAATACAAGACCATACAATTTCCATTGATCTTTTTAAGCTAACTTAAGTAGTGTAATAAGTAGTCTAGCTCCGTTGTAGTTGAGCGCAATACAAATTCTAATCACCGACCAACTAATCGAATGGACCCCGGAAATTCGCTGAAAATATCTGGGAAAATATCGTCACCTATACTCTAAACAGACCGAATACCAAATTGGGTCCTAACGTCGATTATTTTATCTTTTTCTGGTATCTCTAAAGTTATATCCTTCTTCTGTCTTTTTATTTGATCCTGTTGATAATATCTTTCTATTAGCTAACAGCTTATGACGACGAGAAAGCCATGTACCGTAAAGATGCAAGTGTGTCCGGATTTTACAGGTCTCGCCCATAATGACAACAGAATCGCTCGCATAACTTGCTTGGTACGGTCAGCCTGTAGATACAAGGTTGTACGTGTAAAATCATGAAAACTTTCAAGATGTAAAATATTTCACGGCCGAGCCAAGAGAGATTCTTTGATTAGTCTATTCAGAGTCAGCGGACGGCGACAAAAAAGGACTTGGATTCAGCTGTTGAAACCCTAAATCCAAATAGATCCTGTTACGCCTTGAACTCTAGATGGCATGCACTCTTGTACATCTGAAATGGGAACAAAGGTTTAGCGAGTTTTAGCACATTGCCTAGAACGTTGTTAGCATTCCGACTACTATGGTGGCTTTTTGTTGCAGCATTCGAGGAGTTACACATCACAGTGGGTCGCTGCGTTGTCCATTTAATCATTGGCTCTATGTTAAGCTACCCAAGGCTCGGTAAGCTTTAGTTAGGCAACGTGGTGTTTGTTGGATGAAGCATTTTTCGGTTTAAGTGCTATTAATTGGTACCAAAGGGCATGAGACAAATCACGAGGGCACGAAACTATTTTTTTTAAATAAAATACTCCACAGTCTACAATTTATAGATATTTCAGGTGATTGCGCTAAAGCAAGGCTTGGTCTACTGAAGGCCTCTTGCAGCAGATACAAAGCAGCCATACTACTGTGAAATTTCACGAAACTGTCAAACTACGAGCTATTTAAAGTTATGATGAGGCCCTGTCAAAATTAATACGTTTGGTTATATAGAAGATAACACTTATGGGACTGCCAAACATCTCACAAAAAAGGCAAAGAGACGTTGAATCTTACATAAAATTATCACCAGAGTTATCCGATGGAAATAGGGAGAATTATATTTAACGATTTTTTGCGACATAAAAGCAACACTTTGTGGAAGAAATCTTACACACGTATTCCGAAGTAGTAGAAAATGACTTCTAAACGTTACAAAAGCTTGCTATAGGCCGTTGTAAAATACCTTTTCTTTTTATGGAAACAAAATCTCATCATCGCGAAAACGTCATTGAAATTGTGCTATCTCTATAACGATGCCTTTTGTGTCTTATCTCAGATTGCTTTTCCTTCGCTATGGCCGTATAATTTTAATAACCTAAGGTATAAACGTTTGGCTAACCGCGGATTATTTGCATTAAATAAAAAATATATTGTATGACAGTTTAACTCAATGAAGGTGTCCTTGATATTCTTTGACAGTTTGCAAGAACTGACCGCATATTAATAGTTCTAAATGCATGGATCACGTTCTTGTTATGGCCCTGAGTACAATAGATAAGAACACATTGTTGTTATGTTAAACGATCATCTTTTTATTTCCGCTCTGTACATCACCCATCTGTGTTCTGTTTATCTATTCTCTCTGTCCTTTCGGTTTCGTTCGGTCTTTATCTGTTACATTATTCGGCGCCAGTGTACTCGCTCACTTAGTTTCACCTCCAATGAAATTTTTATCCTCACCCAAATTAGTTAACCGCCACACCAACGAATAACTATTATCCAATAACAATAATAATATTCGTAATTAGATTGATGTTTGTGTCCTTTTACTTCATCTGCTAGCTTCTCTGATTAGACGTTGCAGTGCAGGGTAGCATCTTAGAGCAGTGCAGGCGCTTGTCGTCAAAGGCTAATTCTAAGGAATCTTTTTATAGTTCATTACCTACCCGTTTCAGCATCTATTTCATCACTATCGTAGCATTTGCTATGTTAAATTACGTCGCCACCGTTCTCGTATCGTCAATTCAGCACTACTGCGTAACTAAGTTCTATTCTCTGATGCGAATTTTTTTGCTGTACATAAATTAAAGCATGCACTTTACAGTCACCATCGAAATATTTTACGCGGGCTTAATAGTTGGAATTTTGAGTAGAGTAAACAAAACATCCCGTCACTGAACCCTTTTGTGTGTGTCGTTAAGAAATAATGACACACAATTCGAATATATGGATAACCTGGAAAACGGTTAAATAAGCCAGCACGATAAGTAAGGAAAATCAGAGAACAGATGGGTATCTCCCAAGAATCCAACATATTAATGACGCGTCGGCTATTTTTGCTCTAACATATTTATCTATAATTGTTGTTCTCTTATTCTCATTATTCTTACCTTTATTCGTTATCTAATCTAATCGTGTAAAAATTTTCCACTGTCGTCTGATTCGTATAATCATCTCATTAACGGTTTACTTTCTTTGATTAAGAATCTCCGTCTTCGTCTTTCAGCCCTACAGTTTATTTGTTATTTCTTTGTTTCACACACATACATTCATTATTCATCAATCGACGTCAAGCGGACCCAGCAAATAATGCCTAGAGCCCTATAGTCTGCAACGTTGTAGTCCTGGGTCAGGAGTAGAGAAAGCGCCAAAAAGCTGGTTTTTCATTCTTCTTTTTGTCTCGCACGGTTCTTGCCTCTTTAACCACAAACATTCTTATTGACGATTAGTGACAACGGCGACTAGAGGCAGCAGTTAGTCTATTAGTTAACTTACTTTCCTTTTTTATCGTTCGTTTTCATTCTAGTGACTGATTCACTTTCAGCATCTGCTACATCTCCGCTAACGGTACGGTACCATTTCTCACCTAAGTCCATTCTAACCCATTCGTGTAGCTCTGTGTCGCGTTACGAACTTCCTTTCTTGCAAGATTTCTTCGATTTATTTCGTTTTCTTCTTTTTATTCTTTTCAAAGAAAACTTGTCTACTTGTTGCCATTCGGTCTGTGTCGCCTATCGTGCTCTGCTTTTAATAACATTATTATTCATTTTATTTTCTTAATAATATTCTTAATCTATGTACAACCACGCGACGCCTCGGTAATTTTGTTCGGTGCTTATACTATTCTCATCCGCATCCATTAACAGCTCCGTCCGCTGATTCAAGACACAGGCACCTAATATTATACCACCAAACGGATCTTGATGGTCGTGGCGATCCAAAAAAATGAGTCAGCCAGTAGCCACAATTCGGCCACTGTTTAACCGTATTTTCATTACGTAGTCCTGTAACCATTGAATACTACCTCGGCGTCAAGTTCGTTCCTCATTTTGTTGTTTATCTGTGCCTTCTTTGATTTCTATCAAGTATCCAGTTGAAACCTTCATAATGTATATATAATAAGCATAAAAATGACCATATAGACAGTCTAGTTTCCAGGCGATGTTCACCACACTGATCTAAGCGGACGAATCACTGTCCTCGTCTTTCCCGCACGTATACCTTTTTCATTCACTTGGAAATTGGTTTCACAAACATTTCACCACGATACCAGCGGCGCAGCAAATGATAATATGGTAAATAAACTCTACCGGCGCTCTAAATATATTCCGTTTGATTTTAAGAACTCGTATTCATAGCGTACAGCCGGGTCCATTCGCGAGCTGCAAGAGAACAGAAACCAAATATAAACCCATTGTGATCCACGTGAAGTGATAGTAACCCCTCCTTTGCACGAGGTCACTTTCACTTTCAGGGACTTTTCACACTTTCACTAATCGGAAAGTACTGTTTGACACTGTTTTTCGTAGCCTGTTTCAAAAACCCACTAATTATATTCGCATGAATAGAGACGATCAATCAGAACTTCTAGCATCGATTACATCAATTGTAAATACTTATCAAGTACTAATCAAGGATGCCATACATAGTCAATCAACTATTCTCAATGAAGGAATTTTACTAATAATAATATTTACGTGAATTTTTACGTTATCTATCTGTAATGTCTATATGTAAACAGCCAAATTTTACCTGTACGAATGGCTTCTGCCTCGTTGACCTTCCACTGGTCGGCAACATCGTTGGCTAACGGGTCATCTGGATTGGGGGCAGACAATAACGCCTGGATTGATAATAAAACAGTGCGAATTTGCAGAGCCGGACTCCACTTGTCTTTTAGAATGTCGAGACAAATACGCCCGAGTTTGTCGATGTTCGGATGGTAGATCTTTGTCATGAAGCGCACTTTTGGTGCTGACATTGGATATTCCTCAGGTAGAAATAGCTCTAGTTTGAACATGCCTCCTTCAAATGGACTCTGTGAATGAAAATATATTAGTAACTGGATATTGGATCCACTACTATTAGCTACAGATAGCTAGGTAGGCACTCAAAAAGGTCTTTCGAACAACACATGCTGCTCGAGCATAGTAGATATCTTAGAAATCAATAAAATAGCTGTAAATTGATATTGCGCATTATTTATAAATACGCATCCATATCACAGAGAAATCAACGAATGAAAGGTGTGCACAAGCATACCCGTATTGACCGTAGTCGGCGCAGCTGTCATTGAAACCAAGATGTATTTTTTGGTATAAGTACATTCAAAACTCAAACGTCTCCATACAGAGTGCCTTCGTTTCTGTTTCAGTCTATGAACAAGTATTATGTTTTTAGTATATCTCACATTTTTCTTAGATATAACATTTTCGTCAGAGTTGTGTCATCAAGCCAAATTTACACGCAGAAACAGACCCTATCTAAATTCCACGGTTTTTATCGCTTTATTATTTTTTTTTATATTAGCGTTTAAAGTGTGCCACAATTTATTATATCTATGGGCTTAAAGCACAACCGGGCGATAAATACATGTACAAATGACGGTGATGCAGTCAGTAGAAATGTAGTAAATAAGGCTATAAGGTCATGAAAAAATCATTCTTTGAGAGTAATTTTTCTGTTTATGAAATTTTTACTATAGCAGTACACGGCGAAGTCAACTAAATATTAAATCAAAATCCAATTGTAAGATTCACTTACGCCTTCTGGTCCTGCAACAACGACGTGAAAGTACCTCGCATTGCTCTCATCGGGGACAGCACTGATCCCTGGAACAGGCTCCTGCATCAACCGCTGGGTCTCCTGCAGTAGCAAGTAACATATTACAAATCTTAAGCCCTACTGTCAAAACATTGAAATTCTTAAAGATACAATAGGAAATGAAGCCATGTATAGATATGAGTAGCCGTTTGAAGCATTTGAGAGGGTTACGGATACATTTGACCGCGTGACATTAAATAAATATGAAGTGATAACCTGCATTCATGGTATTAACAAAAAATTGGTACTGATCTGTAGTGATTGCAAAATCACCATTAATATGTATCAGGCGTCGATGTATATGTAGGATCTATCCCAACGTCTTTTTGAAACTGCCACTTTTTTTATCTTTTATATAACTGAATTATATTTTTCCTTAATACTTTGTTATTCCTTCAAGTCGGAATAGGAAAGTTCATACATTAATTTTACATTCAGTAAATCCTAGCTCTGGAATCCACAACGTTTCGCGTCACTTTGCGATAGATCAATGTGAGACTGCTTACAGTTGTTCAAACGAAAGATTACTAAGCTCCACGGTCTTTTTATAAATAAAGAACTATATATATATATATATATATATATATATATATATATATATATATACATATATATACAGACATGTACCGCATAGTAGCAACAGCACTTCTTAATGTCCTTGTAACAATTTAACTGCCACCATATAAAACAGTCAATATATGTGGCATATGTGTACGCAATCTAGTACATCATAGCGTTGTTACGGCATCTCTCCAGATCAACAGAGCATTATATCGCTAGTACTGTTAAACACTACTGAGAATATAATAAGAGTTGAGCCAGTACAGGAACGACCACACATGGCGCACAACAGTTCAGCACCATTCTGCTGAGAAAATTCCTGTTGCCATGGGAACATGATTTACTGCTCTGTTAGAAAATACTTCATAGACATTATTTCTATTTGGTTGTTTGCATAAGTGGGTGATATCTATATAAATTAAAGATTAAAAAGTAACCAGAATTTGTGTAAGCATGCATTTTTAAAAGAGGCGGTTTACTAGATGAGGAAAGTCTAAAAAGAGCCTACGGTCCCGTAACATCATCTAAGCTGAATGTTTGTAACATTCGAACCATCAACAACCCGATGGGTGATCGTCATTTCGTACTCACAAATTAATCTTCACGTAGAATACTCACAGTTTGTCAAGAAGACGCCTATACTAACGAATCATATCATCATTTGGCCAGTGATCTCAAAAAATTGTTAGTATGTCATCATTCTACTTAACATGTGGCCAACAACGCGCGCCAGCAACTCCACCCAATACACAAGGACAAAATCTTCAGACCATTGCCTTTTCTACACGTTGACATGTGAATACTCAACGATAACACAAACATCTTACGTCAGCTATATTTTTTTTTCATCGTAATTTCAACGGAAAACTAGCCGAGAAATCGTTTACTGGTCATTTGTTTACACTACTTAAAGCTGGCTGCATTATAATACACCGAACGATAACCTGTCACTCGCATTATTTATAGAAACATCCATGAGACACATAAATACATAAATATATTTGCGGTCACTGCCAATATCCTGATAACTACTAGTGATAAATCACAAGCTGGCCTTATAATCTACTACGTCTTCTACGAATGCCACTTATGACATAGATGAAACATCCTACTCTCAAAAAAATATTCGGAGATCCGCTCATATGTTTTCTAGTATCTTATACCATTCTAGCAGTATTGCCACTATTATTATTGTTATTGCTATTACAAATATTCAGCTGTAAATATGAGTTTCTTTCTTTACACGTCGTGACGACAGTCGAATACATGCCGAGCAAACTCGTATGGATCGATACGATTTGTCCCTTCCCGCTCAGGATGTTTCCCATAATCACTCACTGCAGCCTTAACACCGTGCAATATCAGCCATTAGCCGGGTGAGGCAATAGATTTGCGAACTAGTTTATCATTTCATAGTAAATATGCCAACAAGGATAAACTTCTATGACATCGTCCTGTACCTTAAAATGAAACACATGCGGCATGTGTGAGTATCATGGAGACGACGAGTCATGCCAACCTTCTTGTTTAGATAGACTGAGATGTACACGTCTTTTCTAAACCTCAAACGATGTCGCCAACGGAACGAAAACTAACTTTCTTTAAGAAAGTTTCTGCCTGTCGCCGGTTGCTAAATTATTTCGACTTCTGTTACAAAACGAACGAAACGGAAGGCTGATCAGTCGGTATTTCTATCTTTATATTGGTTTTTGCAGCTTCCGCTAATATTGGACACCGGGATGACTACCACCACCCGACGACGTCAGTTCGTTGACCCGCAGCGGTGTGCGGTCCGGTAGTTCCTTCCGTTGTCAAGCAGTTTACCGAGTTCCTTACCTTGATAATTCTTCGAGGAAGTCCTGCAGCCATGGTAAAAGAATACCGTCTCAACCCAAGGTCTTCGCTGCTACGAATCGTACAAATGCACAAGAGATTTCTTCTGCGGTGCACACGCTATTCCACTATAGTTCCTTGTCCTCCGCCTCTCAGTTTATCTCTATCACCGCCTTCTCATACACACACTATGGGCTAACCTGCTTTAGCTCTAGCGCAAAATGTCAGCGAAAACATCCTTTTGTGCGATGATGACGCGCTTTGGGTTGACAGGCCATGGCTTCGCTGTACGTGCGATTAGCTAGCTACACGAGCCAGACGAACGGCGCGAAACTCGAATCGCGTCGATAGCGACAGAAATAATGCTAACAAACAAAATTCATACTTTGCAGGAAAGATTGCCATCAGGCATCAAACTATAATCGGCTCAGTTAATTAAACATTGAGTATAATGACCCGATTACATTTCTAGCGTTGTACAATGCGAAATGTTTGTAGTAGTTGCCTGGCTTTGCTGATATTTTTCTTATTAAGAACCTAATTTGAGGTGAACCTTTTACTAGCTCTGTCGCCGCCTAGTGTTTGATTGTACTGAATACAAGCACTGCATATGAGGGCCCAATATCTTAGAAATTGCTTTTTCCATTTTTACAAAGCATGAAGAAATAAAAAGTTAATAATTATTCATCAAGTATCCAAAACATAGGCAGCGTGTCAACCCCCTTTGGGTGAATAAGCATGGTATTATTTCAATTACTTTAAAAACATAGTTGATTAACAGACGTTGGCACACCCAGACGTTGGTAAACTCGTTCATAGCTAAAGTAGCTGATATTTATGGCTAGCTATGGTTATCAAGACTATAATGGAAAGTTTTAAGAAAAATGGTATAATTACATAATTAATTGCGGTTGTAAAGCTCTTATACCTAGAAAGGGACGAAAACGTCACTGAAAAGATATTTAAAAATAAATTAAATTCTTAACGTTAGGAATGACAAGGCAAGAAGTGCATTCCAGATTACAGGAAGTTGATCATTCGAGCCGTGACGAAGCAGTTAATAGAGAGAATTAGATTAGGCATATGAGTAGTATTTGAGAGCGTAGGCGTAACTCAACAGGGCACACCGTGAGGGTTGGAAAAAATACGGTTCAACTGAGGTGATTAGTGAACTACGCAATAAAGGAGAACTCAATAAATGTGAAAGGTGTAAAAATGAGCATAAAAAGAATGTTATGGCGATACAAAACAGGCATGAGGAGTTCCCGATATGGCACGTGAGACAACATTTTGTAGTACCTTGAGTTCCTTAATTTTACAGTTATGGTTAGCAAATTATCAAAGAATAAAATATTAGAGGCTAGGCATTTATCGATCACTATAGTAAGTTACAAAGAAAGATCGAGGAATTTGAAGTCGGGAAAAGCAGAGATACGTTCCAAGCTTGGTTTTCAGTTATTGGTGCGTATTGACTGTAAGCGCTGTAGAAGAATAGCTAGATCAAATTTGTATTTTTTGAGACGCTCCACGGGGTTAACCATCCTAAGCTAATACATAAATTCATTTTTTTACCATTATCAGACCCTCAATTTCACGGCTTTATAGCTACCTTGAACACAGATACGTGGGATGCAGCTTGGTAATCATTCCAGTAGAGGTGGAGCCTATTAACCCACTTCTACATAATACTCTGGTTCCAAATGAGTCTGTTCTCTTTCTTTTTAAATATAAATGACACGATCTCCTCCTCAATAAAAGACGAATGATATTCATATGGTCTTAAATTATGCAGTCCAGCTCATATATCAGGGTGACTTACGTTATGAATGGCATTAGAAGAGATAACTCGATGGTGTGAACAACACAATATAATTATTTCTATTATAAGATATGCTGACGTACTCAGAAAATGAACATCGATATATTCTGAATGGAACTGTTATTCCTACGAGCAAATTTATAAGACATATTGGTATCATTGGATTTTAACATACACATTACACAAACAATTAAGATTACCACTCTGGTAAGTAATATAATCTTTCGTCATTTCATTTTTCGAAAGCCCCAAAGTCTCTACCGATTTTTAGTAAAGTTGAGAAAACAAAACATTTAAGCTACTATGGAGTTCGATAGCCTCAGCTAAACGACATATCGTAGGTTTGTGGGCATGTACAATTCAAATTTATTCGGCGCACGGTGCAAAAAGTAATACTGATAAAGATGTCATAACCCCTGTTTTTGTCTCGATACTTTTTGACAATGCAGAAAAAGATATTCATAACTGTATTCAAAGATCTGATTGTATTTCTAAGTATTTTAATCTACGTTCAAATAATCTTACGGGTGGGGTGGTAATAATGCCTGTTGAAACAAAACCGGGTAAATAATGGAACAGATGCGGGGCGCTAAGAAAACGAGGAGTACATTTATTCCATAGACCATTGGGTTATTCGAATGTGTGTCTAATGATTGTCCTCCATTAATATTAATCGTTTTTAGCCGAAATAGAAGAAATTAATTGTTTTTTAATTTTTAAGTAATATTAGAAAATTAAATTTGCGTTACTTTAATCGATAACCATCTTCTATTTTTCCGGTAACAACACAACCCGATTAGTGTAGAACTTCTGCGGTTTTCGGATGCAAAATTGTGGTAAGTAGCTTTTGCATTTTTGAGTTGAAACTAAATTAGCACCATCGAGAGAGTTTTACAGAGATCGAAACAGAAAAGATCCGGACTACACGATAAATGCGTTAAAATTACCCATACAAGTTCGTTTAATCTTTTTCAGTAAGCTGTTTTATTCCTATTAGTTGGAACGATAGACGTCTCAATCAATTATTTTGCCCAGCAAAAATAATAATAATTTAATAAATACTAATAGCAATTCCATAAACACATAGCATAATTCCTTTGGCGTCACTAAGGGCATTTCCACGGGCTGTGGATGTTTATTTGCACGTATCAACTTTCGTCACCTCTGATCAACCATTTCAAAATCGTTCAATTTAATTTCTAAAGAATTTTACGGTTAGACTTTTGATCGAATAAATGTTTTTATGACAATCCGTGTGGAACCCAGATACCAAGTTTTTTTTCAAACTGTTTAAAACTGTTTGGTAATTGATGTTTAATTTCTTGACAATACCATGACAATCCACGTGTCAATCTTGCTCAACATTCGCAATAATTTCATCAACTCTTTTCATAATTAGTTGATTACTATAAAGAGCATCTGTCACATTGAAATTTCTCGAAAGAAAGCGACAGAACTATCTTTGGCATTATTTTTCCTAATAACGCATCTTTACTATTGAAAGCACAATTTTTTTATGGGCTTGGACAGTACTTGTGCCTTTATCGAAATAAAATTGAAAAATATAGGGATGTCTTGCAAAAATTTTACTTAAGGCGCTCAAATTTAAGTCTGAATGAAGTATTTCCACTTATTTTGCCATTATTCCATCAATACTGCTAAATCTCAACTTACAAATTCTACCACTGACGTCCCGATGCGAGGTATGCGATTTTAAAGCCATATATCTAGAAAAAAGGGTCAATACTTTTTCGACAGCCCAATATTTTCAAATTCATCGTATCCTACCCACACCGACATAAATTGCAAGTAAAATAAACAAAAAACAATGTATTTCTAAAAAAAATAATTGCGCCTAAATATTTCAAAATTTATGCCTAATCTACTTTGAAGTCGGGTGGTGCTCTTGAATGGAATTCTGTAGTAATACAGATTTGACTTGGAATGTTACACGCCATAATCTACCGATTATTTTGATTACATGCGTTTTGTAACACTATTGGTCGTTCTAAAAAAAATCTGATTAATTTTCAAAGTAACTTTATGACCCAGAATAAAATCTTTTGTTCAATCGATTCGACAGTCCTTTTCTTTTCGCAGTATTTCCAGTTTCTAAATCAACTAGTGAAATTTTTTAATTATTTTTTTCTTCTATTATATATTTCACATGGAACACTGACGAGCGTTTTCGCTCTTATTTTTCTTCATAAAAATTGCTTCAAGATCATCAGCGTTACCGGCCTGAAAATTAGCTTGCGTCGTAATTATCGTTATGGCCGGAGTCTGGAGTTCAGAACTATTTCAGTATATTTGTCTATCATTTTTCATATCATCAGTTCGTTGGCCTATCATGCAATTAAGCTAAACTTATTAAACAAATAAGTATATAGTAAATGTAAACCAAATAGAATGTGACACTAGACCAAAAAACATTGCATAAAATAATAATCGTCATTATTACCATTACTATAATACTAAACAAAATAAAATTATAAACTCAAGAACCCGCAGTTCTGTTGCCAGCATGAAAATCAATGAACTTTTATACTAGTAATCTATTTGACCTGGAAGGCTTAGCAAGATTGTATGGAAATCGCTCTACGAAGGAAAACACGCTATCTTGACCATTGAATAATGTATCTTCAATTTAATAAAAACACCATAACCATCATACGTAAACTAACAAGCAGATACTCTATGTATACAGATCCTCTGTGCGTTTCGAGTACACACAAAAATAGCCCCGGTAATTCAATCACTATCGTTTTGATCGGAGTCAGAGTAAGCTATAAGTGGGATTGAACCCTGTTGTTTTGAACAACTGGCCAAGCCTCTTGTTTGGAGTTCCGCTTCGAAAGGTTGCGAGGGGAACGTTGTTGGTGATAATAATGACGATGTAATAAGTGCGGTTTTCTGTGTACGTTTGTCAATCCGGCTGACATTTTGCGGGAGGGTTTCGACTTTTTCGCTATTTTCATGTAGTTTAATCACGCATTTTCCTTTTGAGTCTTCTGTTTCTTCCTCTATCACTTCCACCTTATCTTCAATAATTTCGCTAGCTCTTCTTACCTTGTGAGAGGTCGATGGCATGTTTAAGTCGTTAAAATCATAAACCTTTTTTACTCCCTTTATAACGGTTTGTCGTAGATTTTGGTTAGCCATTGGCACCTCAGTTTTCCTTGCTTTGGAACAAAGAACTTGCCGCTCGAGTGAACTAAATTTTCTTCTTACTGAGCCAGATTCCGTCAATTCGAAAATTGGTCGCGACATCAGGTTGTCTCGGTCTTGTTTTCGCCTTTGATCCACATCTACAGCCACCAGCAATGCAAGATAAAATAATTACGAGGTGTCGCGCGGCATGATAAAACAGTGGCAACTTGACCATAAGCAGATCATGTAGCTTAATTAAAAGATTATTTCCCCTAGTTCATATAGTAGTTCATGTAGTAGTAAGCAAATAGTTTTTAAAATATTTTTCTAGTATGGAGCATTCTTATCGACTCAAGATCTATATGATTTTTGAAGACGTTTTAGGTAACATGATATGGTTTGCTGTCTATCAAGAGAATGCAGTAATTGACAACCTCTGATAAAAGAGACAAGATTAAAGACTTAGTAGTTACGGGTTTAAACGTACTCATGGGAGCTTCGAGGCGAAGAAGCTGGGCTACCTCTCTGTCATAAGCTGATTCGGGTAAGAGCTTGATATTAAGTGCAGCTTTTGATTTTAACAAATTGTCCTTTTGTTCAAGCTCTTTTCGTTCCTTTTTCTCCTTCTATAAACATGATTTGTTAAAATAGAATTTAAGAACAGATTTAATTTAGACCCACCAGTAGAAAAAATTGAGACAAGCGTTACTTAAGTATGAAATTAAATGCTACGAAATTATATTGATAATATTTTAGTTTTTCATAGGTATCGCACATTCATTTTATTACTTACACAGTTAATTTGTTGTTATATATAATATCTCAATACTAAGAATTTTTAAAGTTTTGAAAGAGCACTTAGCCTTTACCCGAAATTTTCTACGCAGAATTGAATTTAGTTCATAATCGTCCTTTCTCCGTTTCTGAAATTTTTCTAGGTTGTTCATAACAGGTTCGAGGTCTTTCATTTTCTTTGCATCCTCATCCAAGTGATCTAGCTTGAACATTGGATCCGAAGCCAGTTGCTTTGAAACGGTTTTGTCTGACACATGAAGATAATGAATAGAATACTAGTTAGTATTCATACCAGGGTGGTATGTCCACAGCTTCGATAATACAGGCTACAAATAATATGGCCATATAAGTGTTGACGATATGTCACAGTAACTATGCCTACCCTTTCAAATTTGTGGCTTAGATTGAACTCTGTTTTTTAACGAAAAATTTGCTTACCTTTTTTCCCAATAAATCTAGCTATACGGTAACACTAGTCAATAGTACTTGGCAAAAAATATGGGCTAAGCAGTTTAAAATACTAACCTTCAGGTACAACCTGCCCATTGTCAGTTGGGTCCCATCGACGTTCTTGGCGACTTGCTCCACTTATAATCTTATAGTCGAGATTCTGAAAATTAATTAAAGTGAATAATAGTCTAATATATATGCCCAATTAGTGTTTTTTTGCAGAAATTAAAATTCTATTTAATCACAAATATGTCAGCTTTTCTCTTACGTATCTATAAAGCTATATGAATATATATGTAAACAATAAAGAGTTTGAACAAATGTACATAAGAGCGAATAACTCAAGACTTTGTAGAAACCTAAATTCAAATACATTGGCCACAATTCAGTTAACTAAATCACTGCAATTTATTTCTTTTCTCTATCAATGGCTTGTAAGGCTAGCGTAAACGTCAATTTAAACTCTTAAAATAAATCGATTAATCAGATGCAATAATCAACGTTATTTGGATATTAACGGTTCATTTTGGTTAATACTGAACGTTGGTCAAGATATACAACATCAATTTATTAAAATATGTAGCATAACAACAGAAAAATTCGGTTCCATATTGTATTCCTGTATGTATTGGACTTTTTATTTGATAATAGTTAGCAAAGCTTGCTGTATCTAACAAGCGAGAATGCTATCCTTCTCCTAACAGTTCATAACAATCAGTTGGCTGCTTATTATTACAACAAATACTTTATCATATATATGTTACAACAGTATAGAGCAAGACATTAAAAATATCTTACCCCTGGATCAGTTTGCATCTCAATGTAATTATCACAAAGGTGACACTTCATTCGGAACTTGTATACCGGTGTTGTATAATACATGCCGACTTTGGTTTTCTCAGCGTTATATCTGAAACGGTGACCACCAGAACGTTGAAACGGTACAAATCGCAAAAAAGATAATGGATACGAGGAATTAGTACCGTGGTAATATACAAAATATATAATACTGTGTTTCATAAGACCGTTAGATTTAGTGGCAATGTATCTTTCATTAGGTGCGGATGCATCGAATGCTCAGCAAAATTATTTTACCTTATAATGAAACTAAGCTAAACTCTAGTGTTACAACTATCGAGTGTAAGACAGGCAAGAAAGGCAGGGCAGATGCTTTTAAATATTAGAAACTGCCGATCGCCCTTAATCAGTTTCTGGTGAAGGAAGCTAGATACTTACCGAACACCTGTGCCGATATGATTTTTACATCCTTCACACCATATATTGTATGGCATCTCAAAGCGAATGACCAGAATGCCAAGGTGAAGTTTCTTCGCTCGTTCGCGCAATGGATGGCTGTTTCGGTATTTGTTAATTGAGCCTTTTGATGGATCCCAATCGGGAGGATAATATTTGTTAGTTGCTTTCCGGTCGGCCTGTAATATACCATGAAGGCAAATATTTAGACATGGTGCCAGAATATCGCTTAAATTTGTGCCTCGGATGCCTGAGTTGATGCTTAACCTATTTCTAACGATACGGAACCTTAGATTGCCAATATTTTGGTTACATATTGTTTGCAGAGCTGTGGCGACCAATCCCATTCTTTACAACTTTAATACTTACTTTGACTCTATATTAAGTATATCGGCCAGGTTCAAGTAAATTCTAAAGCATTGTCTGTCTGTCATTTTTTTTTCGTACTTAGCGTTTCATTAACTCTGATTGTTGGTTACGTTAATATATTGGAGCAAATTACATTATCATCAACAATAGAACTAAAATTTTCATTTCTGTTCAAGGTTTATTAACAATATTTTGTAAAGTATGTAAAATTCATATTGTAGCCAACGAACTCATAGATGTGTCTCATATGTTATCCTGTAAAAATTCAAAGATTTTTTAAAACTTTAATATAAACGGTCAATAATTACTTCGCAAAATAAAAGGACGTATATATTATTAAAATGTACTCTAAAATGTTTAGTTCGTTTGCAAAAATTAAATATGCTACAATTATTATTAAAATGTTTTCTATCTTATTGATATTACACGTTTAGGTTAGAGGACTCGTTTATAGGATACGATAATATCCAGTTTGAGTTGACTGATAATTTGTTTATCTAGCCTCCCTGTCTGATTTTTTTATATAATAGAACAAGTATTAAATTGAAAAACGACAATCACTTACCATTTTTAGGTTGTTACTAGGTCACACACTAGTCAAAATCGAATACTCTGTCACAGTTTTATCTTCTTTTTGTGTGAAAAGCTGGCTCAATCTATCCTAAAGCGAGAAATGTGGTCCCCTCTTTCAGTACTCAACATTTTCAGAGTACATCAGCTCTAGAGCAAAATTCTGCTTTATGTCCGTTCTTCTTTTTGCTCAATGTTCGCTCAGCAAATAATTTAATTTCATTATCGAACAACCTTCTGCATACATGCATGACACCTTTTTGGCACTCCTTGCCTCTATACTATATTTCCTCTGGTAAAAATCAGCTGGATATGAGCGGTGCAGACGCAACGCAAATCTTCGGACAGTTTCCTTCTTTCCGTCGACAATGTTTCTAGTTCGATGATGCGTGTCACGGATAGAAAATAGAACATATTATAGCACGTGTTTCTTGCTATCGTTTGACACTTTCTTCTATAATGATCATAAACTCTCGGCTTTCGAGAGACACTGATGAACTCTATTAACATTCAGTAAAGATAACAACCACAATGACAACAGTCGCAGCAGCATCAGTGAGGGTAGCATCGAGGTTTGCCATTCGTCCCGTCAAATATAGCGTAAAAGACATGACACACAGCTTGAAACACTGTGCGCGTAAGATGATCTCGTTAGAAGCACACGTAACTTGAATTCAACCACCTGTCCTTCGCTACCGATCTGCGCGCCATGTCAGTACTTAGTGAGCTTTCTCCAATAAGCCAATACGATTAATCGCCAATGGTCCATTTGAATTTCCCACCATCAATTGGGTTGAGTTATTTGATTTTGTGCGCGCTTCACTCTTTTCGATGAGCAGATCGTTTGCTGCACTCCGACAATTCGTCCGAGCAGCGATGATGGCGCCCGGGCGCATAGCGCCACCTAACGGTGGCCTCCTTTCCCACTGGCTAGCGCATGTAAGCGGTGCTGTGTGGCCATCAAACGCTCGCCTCTTAGTTGTTGTAGCAGCAGTAATAGTTGTTGTGTGTGTAGTGCTTGGCCTGGACAACTCTAGATAGCGGGGAGATATGCAGGCAGCAGGACCCAGCCGGGCAAATAAGGAAGCAAACAAAAAAAGATAATTATTCTGGTGTGATTTTGTATTAGTTACTGGTACGGGTACGCAGTGTTTGAATTGCTTGTCTTTGCCAACAAATGACGAGGAAGCTAACAAGCTCCTTTACAGAGAAAAGCACGTTGTCGTAGAAACGAGATAGAATTGTTCGAGGTGTATTTGTGCTGTGCGTGTGTCTACGGTGCCCTGTCTGCGGAAGTGCTGTAGAATACGACGGGTTAACGAAGAAATAGAAATTTTTGGCACTGTCCGAGTCTCGTGGTACGGTGGATTAATCATCGGAAATGCCCGGTAAGCTCATGACGAATAGTGAGTGCTTCAATTAAATGCAGGTGTTTGCAATAGTAAAAGGGTAAGGTTGCGTCAAGAGAGCTGGTTTTGACTAAGCGGTAAAAATTAATTTTTATTCAACAGCATTTAATCCTTCTCTGTGTTTGTATGTTAATTGCGGCCGGTGTTAAGTCGAGCCAGACTCGGTGAGGCGTGCCCGGTACTCATCCTGCAGTTTGCAGCCCGTCGCTAGAGAGAAGCGTTGCTTGAAATTTGTTGGTCCTCAACGTTCGTTACAAGCATAGACATGCCGTCAATAAATTGTTTCAGGCAAGAGTTTCTAACAAAAACCAGTCTATTCACGAGAAAAAATTAAACAGTTAACAAATGGCTGTCATTTATTCGACATTCGCTCTCTCGCCCTTCTGTTGTGCTTTTACAGCAGTGGACAACCAGCATGACAATAATAACCAGCTACTCACATGTTATTCAATGCGTATTTTCTATAAAGGATACACCTTAAGTTGGCCTACTTACTTGTTCATATTTTTTGCTCGCTTAATAATACGCTTTTCTAATAAACATAAATTATTGCTGAGCTCGAAAGCAACGCAGCAACGTACCATTGAAACGCCTGTGAGCGCAGGATGTCCTTCAAAGCGAAGGCTGTGTGAGGCAAAGGAGCAGCGGCAACGGGGCTAATTCCCGAGCTTGATCGAGCTGGGGAATTGACGTACTGACGACTAGTTGGTCGCGGATGATTTTGATGCGAAAGCATCGGACGCTGCTGTTGAACATCCACAATCCAAGGCAAGTCAAGTAAGAACCAAACAACTGACGCGGCACAGCTTCTATGGCGATGGCGTTAACCCTGCTACTAATATTCACTTACATGTTACCACTACGGGTAGCTGTCGCAATCAGTTTTCTTTTATACAGCCCTTACGTTCCGTAATGTCGGTCGTTTCTTCTGCTGTTGTGGTTCCAGTGTTGTTTGCAACACAATCCGTGTGCCGCTGCAGTTAATCTAGGTTTTCCTAGGTGAAAATGTTGACCGTGCTTTGTCGTGCACCCGCAGTGTTTCAACGTTGACTACTATAGACACATTTCTTTTAGTCTATTCAGGTTTGCTTCTCCTGCATATTCTATTAGGTGAACGAACGATGATGGATTAGACATGACGAATTTAATTTTGAGGTAAAGAACAACCATTAACGTAAATTTCGGCTCATTCACGCCCGTCACCAAAGAGAGTAAACTTAGAAACCGTTCTCTGCGCAAGTATGAACAATATGTTTCACGGCCGCCATCGCAAAACAAAAAAATGCATAGCATTCCCGAAGCGTACTTCCTAGAAAATAGGAACAAAGTGGTCCGAATTGAGTCAGCTAGAATTCTGCGAAATGCATGTACACTCCAGTAATAACACACAGCTGAATCTCTTTTTTCCATTAGTAGACATCGATTTAACTACGGTGGTAGAACACAATTATTCTAAACCAACTATGTCAGAACATTAAAACTGAAAAACTGTCCATAAAACGATGGAGAAAGGGTATATTAAACTTATAACTGCCGTTGATTCAAATAAGCTGGCAGAACAAACGTACGTATTATCTTGTTAGCAACGTGTGCAGCGCTGGCATCAGATGAGGCTTCATTTAGCAAGCTTGCAATCAAAGCGACTGAAGAAGATTCGTTTTGAATATGGGGGTGGTGCACAGGGTGAGGGATGAGAAGTGGATGTCCGGTGGGGTCGAGTCTTCAGTGAACGCCATCGTAGCCGCGTCGCTTCATTGGAAAACTTCTGTCGTGAAGCGTTTTTATTCCTCAACTTCATTTGATCAGTGCACAGCTGGCCGCTTATTTTTATGTTCTGAATTATTTTCTATGTTTTTGTGGGCTAAAAACTATCTTCGCTGCGGTTTATTGAAGAAGCTGGCTAATGAGGCCAGTTGCTTCCAGAGTCTGAAAAAATTCGATTTCTGGATTTCTCATAATTTCGATCTACTGCAATTTCAGCTCTCATAAGGCGCTGCTGCCATCGTTGTAGGCGACAGCAAATGTCTGTGTGCCTCAATAACCGGTAGCTCTTGCGGCTTCTATATTTTTTGTAATAACAGCTATTGGAAATTACTCAGCGATGCTTGATGATATCTGATATTGATATCAATAAAAAGATTTCACCCGATTTAAATTTCTAACGACGTAGTTGGCATTAAAAGCGTTTGCAATTTCGAGCTGTCATTTTTTTCTGGTGGCAATAGGATGACGTTTTAATATATTTAAATAAGAAAAGCATTTTGTTTAAGGCATTAGAAGCTGCTGCATGGGATTAGTCTTGAAGTCGAAAAATTAGGGCCACACATTTCATACAGTTTCGTCCCTCTTATTGCTTTAAACGAATTTTCCGACTGTGACTATAAATTTCAGTTGAAATGAATATTTCATGACCTTTAAGATCATTTACCTAAAGCCGCTGTGGTCTTTCGCGTCACGCGGTATAGAAAACCGACTGATATCAGTAAATGGACACTGCTGTTATATAGTCATGTTTTGGATTTCAACAATGAAAAAATCTTTGTTTTTTATGCTTAAATAATAATTCTAGGTGTTATAAATAAACGAATAAATATATAGAAATATTCCTATAAATAGGCAGAAGTAGTACACGTCAAACTTTCAATGCTTTATAGATTTTCGTTTGTATACTTAAGTGATTGTGTTCCATGTATGCGAAGTTACGCTTCGTATGTTAATTATTATACCTATGCTTTCGATTTACGACTCGGATGTAAATACAGTGTTCTACTCAAGTCATTGCGACGTTTTCAAACATGCAGTGCTTCCATGACCTAAAAATCTCCTATTCCCGTTAAATTTTTTTTGCTTCTGTTTTCAATATGGCATAGACTCTAACCTGCTGCTAACTGGGCTCTTGCCTTCTCATTTGTTAGGTCCCTCCGGTGGTTCGGGGCCTGGAGGAAGTTGTTCACCAAGCGGGGGGTCCATAAGTGGCGGTCAAACTGCAGAACATAAATGTGTCTACTGTACATCAGATATCAGAGGCCTTCGCGTCCGATGCACACAGCAGACGTGCGGACCAACGTTCAATCTTTGCTCAGAGTGCTTCGCCTGCCAAGTGGAATTGGGAACACATCGCAGAACTCATTCCTACGAAATTATCGTAAGACACCGTTGCGTTCCTTGTGCTACTGATTTAGTTCTCCATTTATATGAGATTTGATGCTGTTTGCGCAACCTGAGTACCACATTCAGTTATAATCTATGTGATATAGGCCATACATTTTTAAATAATAGAATATATTTTCAATAGTTACTGATATATAACATAATGAAACACAATAATTGCAATGAATCACACCACAGCCTTTTTTCAAGTGTTACAGTGCTGAGTTGATGTGGCTTAAATTGGAAATGCACGATTATTTCAAGCTTAACCTACCACAGTTCGTTCAAGCAGAAATTCGGCGTTGGCACTTTGTGAACCTTTTGTTTGGATGATGTGCTGGTTTTTAGGATGACGGGAATTTTCCCCTGTTTAACGAGCGTTCGGCGTGGCGAGCGGTGGAAGAAAGCCAGCTACTTGACTCCGTTGAGCGCTTCGGTTTTGGTAACTGGGAAGATATTAAGACAATGCTTTCTGGACGAACTGTCGAGGAAGTAAAGGCGCATTATGGTCACTTCTACATTGATGGAAACATAGGTATAGACGCTAAAAATACGCGTGTCTTTCTTAACATTGTTATATAAAATTACTTTTCTAAGTTTGTTTTTATCTTAGTAAAATAACTATGATATTTAAAGAAACCGTTGGTCTTTGGAGGTAATCGACATTTTTTATTTCGTTATCAGTAATCTACATCTTTCCTTTCTATCTTTCTCTTTAATAAATTACGGTAAAATGTGATGAGCTTCTGCAAGAAAGACGGCTGATCGAACATTATAATTTTTGTGGAAATCGTGACTACTGGTCTAAATTAGATGGCGTATTAATCGGTTTCTTTATATGTTTTACGAATAGTGGCTTCAATACTCTGTGTTCTCTATAAACATAATGGTACCTTCTGTTTACAGGAAAGGTTACATGGGGCCGATGTGGTCCGCCTTCACAAAATGTAATCGATCGGTCATTACCTCCGGGTGAACCCCTGTCACCTTCGTTAAATTCACCCACGAAGCCTCCTCAGGAGTTAAGTGTTAATGACCAATTAGAAATGGGTTATATGCCTAATAGAGATGACTTTGAGAAGGAATTTGATAACGACGCTGAAAATTTGATAAGTCAATTGGCGTTATGTGAGGATGAAGATCCCACGGATCGAGAAGCTAAGATGGCGCTTATCGATAGCTATGCTCGGAGATTAGGGGAACGGGTCCGGCGTAAGAAGTTTGCGCGGGAGCACAATTTGTTATGTCTCTTTATCAAAGGTGGAGCTTCGCCGGGGTGCCGAGGTGTAAAGGCTTCGTCTAGGGAGGGTCGTATGCGGAGGGAAGCGTCAGAAAAATTACGACCGTTTCTTCAAGACACATCAGGGGAAGAACTTGAGGCTTTCATGATTAACCTTGAAAGTCAGATGGATCTTAAAGGAAGAATCAAAGATTTGTCCAGGGCACGAAGAAATGGTCTGACCCGGCTTGAAGATCTCTTTGATTTTGAACAGGCTAAAAAGCGACGCGACAAATTAATGCATCGGCGAGCTATACAGGTGAGTGTTCTCTTCTGATATACATCAAATGAAATGTTTCTTTCCACAGCCGCAAACTCTTACCACATTGGCTCGCACTGTGAATAACGCATTAGCAATGCCAACGTACTCCTATTAAAGTGTGCATTTCTACTTTTTATTTTAAGTAGTTACGAGCTAAAGAGGCAAAGTTCTGGATTGTAACTGCTGCTTCGCCTAGCTAGGTTGTAGCAATTCGTTAGCAGTTGCTGCGCACATAGTTAAACGAGTGCCTACAATACGGCTGTAGTGCTATAGTTGTTAGTTATAGTTCAAGCGCCTCGGTATAGTACTTTGATTATCTGCTGGGGGATCTGTGTTAAGTTCTATTTAATCAGCTGATGCATGATAATCAGCTCGTACCAAATAGCTGTGGTTTCACTACTCATATTAGTGCAACCTTTGCTTCGAGCATTCTAGCTAATTATTAGTTTGATATTGTTACTGTTCTCTACATATGCCTCTTTTATATCTTTAGAACACTTTGCTATTGTCACAATCGGTAACTGTTTCTGACTATGTCCCCGTTCCCTTGTATAGCTTAACTGTGTTTTTGAAAGTTTTGGAAGCGTTCTTTTTTTGTAAGAGTGGTCGAGTGTTTTTGATAATTAGACTTTAAATGTAGTCTATTTGTTCTCTCGAGCTTCCATTACGACCGAGAGTCCTTTGGGTCTACTTGTTGTGTGGCGTGCGTGAATACATATAAGCGTATGGATACGATCGAGTCGCTGACGGGTAACCGTCAGCTAAGCAAAGCAGGTTGGTTGATTGTTTCCATAGTTGCTTTATTTATTAGACACAAGGACTGCTTGTGAACTGTTGTTGCTGGTTGACTGGTCGATTGAATGGATGGATGTGTGATTGAATGATTGACTGATTTTTTGGCTGTTGTGTCAATGCTGTTACGTACGTTGTGATTGATTCTGAAGGATGTTTGTGCGCCTTTCTTTGGTCTGCTGTCTCCTCTTGTTGATTTGTTGATGCCTTCTGCTGCTGTTGTATGTCTGTCGCGGGTCCGACTCAGTCGTCGCAAGGCGGTGCCGACGCGACTGTCGGACCTCTCCGGAGCCCCGAAAACCTCGGCCCTGGATCCTTTGGGTCTTCGGGGTTCCTCAGGGCTTGCGGTGGCAGCGGCGACCATCACGAACAGCTGGCAACCCTCGAGGGCCTCGGCGCTCTGGGAGTCCTTGTCGGACATAGCTCCAGCAGCGGGAGTAGTCAGTACTCAGACTTTTCGGGCACCACTTCAGATGTCTCCGAGTGGAGCGGGGGCGGAGGGGGCCCCGGGCCGCGGAAGCCACGCAGGCGCACCTCCGTCGTTTCACGGGACCGCAAGGGATTCCATCGCCGCCAACGGCAAACCAACGGGAACTCCATCGGCCACGGGACTACTATTACCCGCAATAGCAACAACAACAACAGCAACAACAACAGTGGCAGCAATAAACTCAAGCACCATCGGAAATGCCGTCACTTTAACCGGACGGGATTCCCAAAGAACAAGCCAAAGGCGAGAGTAAGTGAACGTAGTTTAGTACGGTACAGTGTTCATGGCTAATATCTATGTATACATAACCATGTGTTTCTATGTTCCCACTGTCAGTTATCTCATAACTTATGTATGGCGATACAAGTCGTTACGTTGTCTTGGTTTCTAATGTTTTGTCTACAATTAGACTTGACGATCAATAGTCGTGCTTAGTGAACTATTCTAATACAAGTTATACTGATCATTGACATATTCACTAGAAGTTGTTTTACGGTATCTTTCTTTTTTTAATGTCGTTGCAGGGAAAGGATAAGCGAAAGGATGTGTGGATTGTTAGATGATCGTCTGTCCCAGAAGGAGAAGCGGGTGCGTTGCCAAATCTTGTACCAATCTGGTAGTCAGTCAGTCAGTCGCTAAACTTACTGTGATCTGAACGTGTGACTGAGGCAAACTAGCAAGAAAGCTGTAACATTTTGTTTGTTTTATGTCTGTTTCTCCTAACTCTCGCTTTCTTCTTCTCCTTCTCTTGCTTTTATATTATATCAGCTCAGAGCGGTTGGTTTATGACAATTCCAATCAATCAGGGCACAGAAACCGATGGTGAGGCATTGTCGAAAAACAAGCAAAAAATTCAATGAGTACCGAAGTGAAAATCAATAAGAGAATCATTTCGTGGACAGTGGTTGTAGTGGAATCCGTTTTAACTTGAACTCAGAATTGTTCGATAGGAACGTAACTGAATGAAAGTGGACTGAAGAGTAATAACGAATGCATGTAGAACACCCGAATCTGCTCTAGATTTGACATGAATGGCCTTATTTGTTTTTGCTGTTGCAGTTGTCGTTCTACCGAAAGCTGTGAATACGATGCATGATACAGTCGTTTATATGTCTACCCATTTTGCTTGATTTTGTCTAATGGGAATTGGTTTCTGTTTAACAATAGTATCCACCCGCTGACAAAACTTTCTAACATCATTTTAACAATTCTAACATCATTTTAACAAGCTGGGGTTTTCATGTCAACTACTGGATACTTCGCACCTTGTTATGTACCTGGCTTTGCAGGCTATGCAGATTACGAATAATATGAAACAGTAGCGAATTATGCGCCAAGTGTACACATTAAAAAGTGTGATAATTTATGAGAATGATGGCTTCTACTGTTTCTCAAAGAAATGATTTCTACAGCCTCATTTATTTTTGGAGGTGACACAGCGCAGTCGTGGAGCCTTGGAAGTTATAATGAAGCAAATTATGCAAATGTGCCCAATAAATTCTCATAATCCTACAAATTTTTTTCTGATATGTTTAGGGATATTTACCTTAGTAATAGATTCAAGGCATAATAAGAATAACAGAAACAAATCACGTGCTTTTCTATGTAATTTCCCAGTACCCTTGCCGCAAGCACAAACACCTCAACAGCCTAAGTATTTCAAAAGTATCGTTCCGCGTTTGCAACTCTAATACAGTATATATACAATTCATACATAAAAAATTACCGAATACTTTAATCCACCGAGATCCTTGCCTGTTTCTGCTTTACAGACGGTTATTGTGACTATTACAAAAGCATGTGTGAATTTTGTAAACGTGCATCCACTACCTTGCTTAGCTTATCATAAAACAGTCGCCGTATATATATATATAGGCCTGGTCTAACCGTGAATTTGTTCTTAATCTACCTTTACCTTTACAAAGCTACTATTACTATTGTAACCGTTCCGGCCTTTATTCTCGTTACGTTAATTAATTCTAAAACAGGCTTTTAGAAACGAAGTAATAGACGTAAATTATAGTTACGGGTTACATGTTTAGTAAGCCCATTGGTAAACTGTAAATACATTTCATCATTCAGTTAATCAATATTGACTGTTGTGCTACTTCTGATTTTATTTCAGATATGCTCATCGTTAGGCCTGACAGCAGGCGCCTACATGCAATATAAGATTTTATTGCTCCATCAGCTGAGGAGTGGACAGCGCGAGGTGGGCGTCCCTAGGGGTCTTGATGCTACCAGAACGCAAGCCCTCCTTGAGCACTTTTATAGAGCCGGATGGGTGAAATGACCAAACGAAAAATGGTCGAAAGGTAAACCAGTGCTGTTGAGCTTAAGCAATTTCGATTGACTTACCATCCCCAAAGGCTGCCAAAAGACTCCATAGAAAACACTTGATCAAACGGAAATGAAGCCAACAAACTTAGAAAAATGAGACTTCCAAGGTCGGCAGAGGAAACGACCAGGAACTCAATTTATCTATTGAGATAAGCCTATAGTGAGGTCAGCAATAAACGAAATAGACACGTTAGGACAATGAAGGTCGAACGTACGAAAAAACGGCTCATACTTCCAATTTTCCCATTTTCCATGGCGTTTACGTACTTACATCAATGGTGTAGAGACAGACCACAGGACGGGTGCTCCTGTCAAACACTGTACTGTATTGTATATTGAATACTTACGAATGAACAGAGAATATAAACAGTATGATGTCATCGATTGATGACGTAGTGTCGACGACGCACATGGGCTTTCCGGGTAAAGGGCTTCATAGATTTTCGGAGAAAAATTAGAGATGGTAGTGAGAAAAGCAAAAAATAGGCGACTATTGGAAGTCCTGCGGGATGAGTAATACGTTTGAGGAATAGACCTTTTGGGTTAGTTCTTATATAGGGTCCGTATCATTTGAACACGCGCCGCTAGTACTCTAAAAATAAGCAAATTTTACGAAGCACTCCGATCGCATAATTAAAGATTTGATACTAACAATCACAAGATGCCAAGCTCACGAAGGTAAATTTACTGTCGTATACACACGTATTTTCTGGATCTTTAGAGTCCGCTTCGAGTGCCGATAAGATAATCATCAAAAAAATGGCTAAAACGATAGCCGAATATTAATCAATTTTACGTGCCGAGCGAGGAGCGCTCGGAATGTAATTCACCCAGTACTTGTTTAAGCATTTTTCTTCAGCGGGACTGAGAACAGACACCCAACTCAGTACCATTCATTTATAGATAGAATTTTTTTAGAATACTCTTTTTGGAATTGAAGACGGCATTGACATCAAGGTGCATCACTCTGGCACTGTTTGTTTAAGTGATCTCTTTATACAAGCTAAATTATTTAGATGATGGTTGTTCAAGAAATGTTCCTGCTATTACCGGACGGGACAGGTGAACGTGTAAGCTAAGCGTATCACCAATAGTGAGGCGATGGAGCATCTTAATGTTCCAAAGGTAACAATCTCTTTAGCTTAGTTGGTGCTTATTGATTTGAAGCAGCTGCTAGTAATTTTCGTAAAGACCTTTCCGCTACGTCGATTTCTAAGCAGTCTTGAGTATGCAAGGCTTATTATGAATATACTTCCGATATCAAAACCCTACTGAGCTAGCATTTCGTAAAAGATTTGAACACTCGACTAATTATCCATTAACTGATTTTCCACTACAATAATTAACGCAGCAAGTCCGTCTGTGGTTATGGAAAATCGGAAAATGCTACAATGATTTCTACCCAGATATATTTATCTGTTAGTCTGGCTTACACGTATAAGCCCAGACGTTTACTTACGTAATGTTGATTGACTCGAAATTTTCTTTCATTTATAATTCCTTTCGTTAGCGCAACAATATGTTTGATAAGAACAAAGTACTGAATGGTCATTTAATAGTATCAATTTTATTGGCTTGCAGATTTATAGGCCTGAGGGGCGTATGTATCTTCCTTGAGACCACCAAATTTGTGTATATAGAGACCATCTCCGGGGCAGAGTTCCTCAATGGCGTTGCTAAAAAACAAAAACTAGGATTTGTATGTTAAGACTAAAATGTAAATGTCGAGTAATTGTGTGAACGGCTGAATAAAGCATGTGGATAGTAGGCATGCAGATGCTCGGCTCATAGTGAATATTATGGCGATGTTGATAACGAAATGAGATAATAGAGAGAGAGGGGGAAGGGGTGGAGAACTAAACTAGAAACAAAGTGGTGTGCTTTTTCTCAACTAGAGCGAAACGTATTGACATGGAAACAGTTATTTCCATTGTGAATCTTTTAATGAGAGTTTGTATGGATACTAATAGGAACACATAACAATCGGAAAAAAACAGACCCTTTATCGTCATGTGGTGATAACGAGATGATGCTGAGGGTTTGTTGAACTATTCGCACATATGTAGATAAGACTGTAGTAGAAATAATGTACATTCAACGATGTAAAGTTATATTATACCGGCAAAAATTATAAATACCTATGCGTTTATTTAATAAGAACAATATATAATAATAGTAATAAAAATAAACAGAAATGTGTCGAATCATTGAATCATATTTTCTTTTATCTAGAGAATGAAACAAGCAAATAATTAATGTGCTTAATTTTGTTGTTTGCTTTTATTGGCGGCTATGAAGCCTTAACATCTCATCGTACTTTTCTGTCATAGAATAAATGCTAACTGTGACCTTTTGAAGGACTATGTAATATCAATTTTTGACCGCTCATTTTTACATGAACTCAGTAAAAATGAGAGAAAGTATGACAATAATCATAGCAATTTGATTCATTTTAATTTTCAATAAAGTCTCCTACTCTCTTTATGGGATGTGCAATATACAGTGTTTTTTCAAAAATTAATAAGTTGTTTGAATAATCGTTGCTAAAGCACGTTTGTTTTGGCATAAGAAGTAGGGCTGTTGCTACATGAAAGCGAAATTTCATAATAGTCCTACCCGATCTCGAGATTCCGGCTGACACGTATATATTGAATTCCGCAATTTCATCTAATTGAAGCAATGAGGGTGCTTCAAATTCTGTTTAAAAAGCCAAATCAATCGAACAGAGCTCCTAAAGAGTAAACGAGTGGGTCAAGTGTTTTGAAGACGGACCGAAATTCATCAAAAATGATCCTTATACTGGAAAGTCTATACGTGGAAAGAGTAAAACAAGACATGCTTGTTAATTGCCGAATTACCAGAAGAAAACTAGCAGAAGAAAGATATTGGCTCGTGGCTCACGTTAGGCCATTTCGACCAACCGTTTAAATATTAGAAATCTTACGGTAAATCAGGAAGTTAGAGTACTGGTTGACAAGCGAATCCCGACCCGCGAAAAACGCACGGTCCATGTCTAAAATTAAAATGTTTCTCATTATTTTCTTCAACCGTAGGGAAGTCCTGGATCATGAGTTTATGCCGACCAGTTTCACGGGTACCAGCAAGTGCTATCGAAAAATTCTCAAAAGGCTGCGTTTTATAAGAAGTTTGGTCGATGCAGGAGATTAGAACTGTGAAAGAACAAACCCCAAATCATTTATCGCGACAAGGCACCTTCACACTTTATTACTCGTTACAGAAAGCTTGATGTGTGTTGTACCAGCTGTTGTATTTGCCGTACCTAGCTCCCTGCGAATTTGTTTTACTCCCAAAATTGAACAAAGGTCTGAAAGAGAAGCGTTTCTACACGATTGTATACATGAAAGAAAAATTTCTGATCGACCTGAGAGCTATCTCAACGACTGAATTTGAAAAGTGTTTTGAGGACGGAAAAAAATGGCGGCACAAATGTATTGCGTTCGGCAGGGATTACCTTGAAAGGGGCAAACTTGATTAGGACAATTAGGTAGTTAAACGGAAGGCAGATCGATTTGTGAGCATTGTCGTTACCACCAAGCAAGTCCGACCTAGAAAAAGACGTTTTTGCCGTATGACTCTTCTATTCAATTTGTAAATGATACTAAATAAAACACGTTAAATAATTTAATCCGTAAAAAAAGAGGTAAAGATGCAGCATTTTCTCAGCTTTAATCTCTCCTCTGGATGCTAGTGTATTATTTAGATTTTCAGCTCTTCTGTAATAAAAAAGCCGCAGTTTCTTATTGGTGTCATAAAATTTCGAAGACGACGTTAGGTGTCCATTTGGTGAGTTGAAAACGAACTGGACATATACCGAAATTATCGTGCGATGCTTCAGGCGGCGCAGAATACGCTAGAGACTGACCATCCATGCACCATCTTGTGTCGTTCGTTTGCAAAGTTTAGTATCATTTTCCCCTGGTTGTGATAAGTAGCAGAAATTAACTTGATATAAAAAAAAACAAGATCACAAGATTCCTCTTACGCAGATGCCAACTATTTTTAACAAATGGTTTACGAAGACGCACTACCGTTTCGGGATCTACTCTATTAGGATTCGATTTTATGGACCCAAAATCCCAATGTTTAATGAAAGACATCTTCGCTGCTAGTGAGCCCTTTTGAAGGTGAGATTCAATTAGTCAAGAGAAAGGCCGATTGTTTATGAAAATAACACCCGTGACATATATCGAAGGCTTTAGAAAAGTTCCAAAATGACGGCCCGAATCGTCAGTCTAATTAGCCTCACTTTTTGTTTCCGTGCGATTATACAGTAGTCAGGTTACGTTTACTTTCTATAAGCATCTTTATTTACTTCACAAGTAATTTACTTTGCTTGTTTTTTAGTCTCATTATAATGATAATAAAGAAACAGTCGAAGGGTTCCATATTAATATAAAAAGTACAGTTTTCTTGATATGATCACAATAATTTTTTTTGAAGGACATACGTTGATTGAAAGTTATAAAACCTTTTTGAAGAAACCCATATATATAAAACTCTAATTTTATTGTCATATACACATTAAGCCCATTGGTATAGATTTACTGTAGACGGCAGTTGCCACTGAACTTGGTACTGAGTTCACTATAGGTTCTAAGTAAATCGTTGGCTTAATTACATGCGTCTATATTGCGTATTAGCGATTATCATGGGTTTCCACTATTATCTCATAACTTAAGTATTAATGTGATACATTGTACATTGAGCGTAAATCTATTTACGAAGAAGATATGATTAGATGAGTAGATAGGTCATATTAATGTACCAGCCGTCATTTTCACTAATCGCACTAAAGCGACCGTATTTACAGCAACACTGTCGTAGAAAGCTGGTAAAATCAGACGTTATATATCGCTTTTGGCCGTTAATGTTATATGTGAAGCACTATTTATTGTATTTTTTCTTCGTACTATGTTACAAAAATGAATTTATGCCGATAATGTTATGCTAGTGCGTTCACTGCATAACTTCTACTGTGATTTCTTCTGTCGGGGACTTCTTGGCTGTTGCAATCTCCTATTGGCTTCTTCTTTTTTTTGCTGACGCGCGAGTCGCTTTTCTTCTGCTCTCCGGTCTCGCTCTTCATACTGTCGGAGTAACTTGCGGGCTACAAATCCTGTAAAAAGCGTACACATAGAAGTAATTCAGATTTTTCGAAATAAACATGAAACGACTGATGTAAAAACCAGTCCATTATTCGTTTCCAATTATTATACATAAATAAATATGCTTTAATGCTATGCATATGTATGTACCTGTATTCAAAAGTATAGCGTGTCTTCTCTTAAAGTGAACTACGGATCTTCTAGGTGAGATTTTGATAAATCAGTTGTATGAGGGTAAATTAGAGATTGGTGCATGCTATACACATTGTGTACATCAATAAGAAAATATAGTCCGCAGTGAAGTGTTTTTACGCCTAGATGACTGTACGTTAAATGCTAATCATACTCAAACAACCCTGCTATATTCCTAAATATATGGCGGTAATACCGCCAAATAACTCCAGCTTCTCGTTAAAAACTTATTTGATTAAGTCACTGTTTTATCCGTAGCAGCATGCTCTTCAAGCGAAGGGTTGACATTGAGAGTAACCGTCACACAATACTCATAGAATGAGGTAATCCGTTGCAGAAGACCACTGAAGGACTTGTTGTCCCTAACGAATTGAATATATTAATCACTATTTTTATCCGTCAAACATAATAACTATCAGCAGCATTGGGTAACCTCGGAAGACATTTTGTAACGTCCATACTATCTACGTTATTTCAAACTGGCTTAAAATAATCGAAACGGTTACCGTTGTATGTAGATTTTAACCAGTAAAGTTCAGGGCATAGCGCTGACATGAAAAACGAGAAGTGCAGTTTAGCTGGCAGATGTTTTCGAAAACCAAGAACGTTAGGAAATTTTTTTCGGGAATCTTTTGTGAAGCTATGAGATGAGCTGTTCGTAGCAACATCAGTCTGCCAATCGTCGCCTGGATGTTTGCGATAAATAATCGATTCTCGATTCAGCTTGTCAAGCATCGAAAACTTATATAACGATACTCAGACTCTCTTCCATCTTTTTCCTGGATTTCTTAGTCTTGCCTTTCGGAAAAGGTCTACCTACAACTGTACTTAAAGCCACACAGATAATTTTTCGACAATTCGAAGACAAGACACAGGCACGAATTTTCGAATTTCCATACTCATAGAAATACACACTTACACAGAATCAAGTAAACCACACTCACCAATTATTCCTCCGGGAATCAATAGCAGTAAGATCATGTAGAGAAACTCCATATTCAAATCTTGCTACAATTAGTTACTGTGTAATTCAATGTCAACTACAAATATATTTGTCCCAAGAAACTGGGAGCCTGAGTGGAGTTTCCGTTTGTCAGTCAGAACCAGACAGCTGCTTGTTAATAATGGATCACAGGCGCAACAGCAAAACAGCCGGTGATTGTTACGAAGGCAGCGTTTGCGTGGATTACGGACGAACGGCAGAAACGAACACGCTGGCTTACTTTGTTCGCTCGTTCTATTCGTCGTTCAGCTACTGGCAATATTGAGCTACTGACAATCAGAACAGGCTTGGTAGGTGACTGTCGTTACTGCTCTTTGAACACGTAATAAACAACTTTTCTTTTTACTCTTTTTCTATCGCTGCTGTATTTGCGTGTAAGTGGAATAGCTTTGCCGTTACTGCTGCTGTGGTTCTCTTGTGTTGCCCTACCGTTGCCCTTTCCGCACTATGCACAACGACCGCGAAGGAGATATACGGCAGCACACTACGAGACTTGTAATTGAGCTTTTGCGATCAAAGGTCTGTCTCTGACGGCTAAAACATATAGAAGTTCTTGCAAAGAGCTTGCGACACCGTCTGCAGTAGCAGTATCGAAGAAGTCGTCCAGTCAGGCCTGTTGTGCAGTTATTTGTTGCAATATGATTGCCTATTCAATTTCCTATTCTCCTGACCATTCCGTTGTCCACGGCAGACGCTCTGCAGTTGAAAAAACACAGACGGCTAATCAACGGTTAACATCGACTGCCGAGACGCTGTCACTGGCGATACTTCTATTAAATCAATATAGGTCCACTCCTTCTTATCATCATCACGACGATAAGCGATCCGTCCGTTGCGCCGTAACGCCGCGACACTGCCGGCTATCGTTTTTACGACGCTGCACTTACTTATGCTAGTACAAGCTGTTTAATTGGCTGCTGATTGGGTGTCTCGCAGGCAACAGGCGATAAGCAGTTGGCATATACAGAGGAAAAAAGTCGACAAGCTGGCCGCATCAACATACACGTGTAAACACAGCTGAGCGGTGCTAGGGCGGGCAGGTAGGTAACGTGGGCCCAACGTTTTGAGGACGTCACCGGCAGACGGCTGACGGTGACAGGTAACCGCAACGGCGATTTCAGCGCATGCGCCAACCCACAATTAGCAGTCGTCGACCAATCAAGTTTACGTCCCTAAACGCTAAGTAACTTCACCACAAATGGGCAGTTGTTTGCACTAGCACAACTGTTCCGTATACTTACATAAATAACTTTTCTCCCTGAAAGATCGCCATAATCTAACCACACGAAATAGCGCGAATATAAATGTAATGATAGTCGACAAATAATGAATTCACTGGTGGTGACAACGGAGTGCAGCACGAAGATTTAATTTTACAATAAAATTTATCAAATTTTTTTCCTATTTTAAGTGAATAAGTGTGACGGCTATAATCCACATGCCATTAATAAAAGATAATAATGTATTTTGTTAAATACGTTACAAAAGTCATATAATGCAAATAAACGACTTCATTATTATTATTATTATCTAAATGTATACATAATAAAATTACTGCACGTACACAATTGTTTACAGGGTTCCCTATATAAATTATTTTGTTGTTTTGAGAGGGGAAAGTTCTAGCGTTGTGATAGGTTTCAGCTGAAAGAAATCCTCGCTTATCGTATTAGCATTGGCAGATTGCTTGGTGATTTTTTAAACCCTTATTAACAAGGGATTAAATATTACGGTATAATCGTTTTGTCAACTACAATTATGAATCTATTGAAACTTTGGTTTCCGCTACTGGTCGCAATCACAGTCACTTTAAATTTCGATGCTTATAAAAGCCCCAGCCTTCCCTAATATCCGTTAAATAATTTCGTAACTATAACAAAAGAAGCTATGCGGAATGGTTGGTAGCACGGTTGAGCTGACTCTTTCGACTACTGCACTTTGAAATTATTTTGATAAAAGCTCATTCAGTCTGATGTAGGAATAATAAAATAAGCTGTAGATCATGCTTGCAGTATAATGTATGCCAGACAGAAAAACTGAAATGGTTCTAGGGGCAAGCCACACCGGGTCGCTGCAAAGTATTTCGTTTTAAATGACCTTGAAGATAGGTCAAGGTTAAGGAATATACTCCTATACAATAACATGATGATTATATTACTAGCAAACAATAACCTTCCGTTAAATTAACAACGTAGATATATCTTGGATTGCGCAAAGATATGCATATACAACGTTGCCTTTCTATATACCCATCGTATTTTTTTTACATATAGCTATGCGACAATAGGCTTCATAAATCTTGTAAAGTCAATTTCCGATGAGAAACACTCTGAATATTACCAACATTTTGTCATCATTCCAATTTAATGTTTCGAGTTTCCCATCCAATGCTTTAGCCGCTAGGCACTGCTTCAAACGACTGGCTCCCAATACCGAACGAAATGTACACCTGGATTCGAACCTAGACCCTCATGTGGCCCCAGATTTGATGTACTTTATTAAACGTTGATGCTACCCTGCTAGACCCACGTATAATATGTGTACCTCGCTATAAGATCCATCACCTTTCCTTTGCTCTTATATGTTCATAAGATATCTTTTCTTCCGTATATCCACGGATATACGTCTTCTTGGCATAACTAACGAGCTTCGATTGCATAAATAAGCAACAGCATTAGAATCTTATTTAGTGAGTCTTGTCTATATAAGCTATTAGCGTTGTTAGATAATTAGAGCTGTGCCGGTCAGGATTGCTGCATGAATTCCACAGAATGTATTAAGTGAGGGGAAGATATTTAATGCGCTAATAATCACTTGGTGTATTATTGCCGTGAAGATTTATATGGCGTTGGGCTCGAAACGTCCCACGAGGCCCGTAGGAGTTTCACAAAATAAGTACATTGAAACACCGTTGCTAGGATTGATTTATTGACGATTATGTTTTTACAGAAATCTTACTCAGGACAACCGGCTGCGATAGTTTATATTGGAAAGCATTCACCTACAAACGTGACCATTAAACCCGCCGGGCTGTGCTAGATGTAAATCTGCTTTTAAAGAGGTGTCCTTATGCATTACAAAGTCAAATAAGAACTTAATTACAATACGCACATTAATGACTCAACGGTTTATCCACTGTTTTTCGAAAGTGTTGTTGTGGGGTGTGTGCACGATGGGTGTCCTCATCGACGTCGATCCATATTGTGTCCTTGTATTGTAAAAGAAGTACATCGTATCAAAATTAACTATTTATATCTTCGAATAACTATCTAGTATCTCATTATCTGTCTGCATAGCCATGTTATCAACGCCTATTCTTAACTGAGAGAGGTTTTCAGCATTAGGTTGTGATACAACGCTCCTGTTCCGTTCGTTCCTGGGTGCCGCTATGGATGCGTGCTCAGTCAGCCGAGCCGCAACCACCATGGCTAGGAGAACAAATAGCATGCCTGTACTTCCTACAGCGATCGTCGTGGTTAGAACACTTGGATGTGTTTCAATCCGTGGACTGACAATGGGTGGCGCGACCATTGCCCCGCCGCACGTCATAATTAAAATCAGACTGAGATAGACGTGTCGCAACTCTATATGTTCGGTCAGCCACGTTAGCGAGCCTCCGTAAAGGGGCCCCATACCACAGCCGAACATTATTGTACCCAAATATAGCATGCGATTGTCTTGCGAAAACAGCAGAAGTATGAGGCATGCTGCGCTGAAGATGAGTTGGCCACTGGCAACGAACCAGATCGAGCGAAATTTTGCCGAAATAGGAATGATGATCACTCGTACGGCGGTAAAGCCGACCCAAAACAGCGACACCAATACCGCCGCGTCGGCTTTAAGCATGTGATTCATCTGATTGTAACGAAAGCACATCAAAGATAGAAATACGTACCATTACTATACATTTCCTGCCACTATACCTTGAGTGTGGGATTGCCGAGGAAGTAAGTAGACCTGGTTAGTGTACTTCGTCAGAATTTTAAATCACATTGTGTGTATGTTCAGACACATTCCATTTTGGATTGTATGTAATATGCCTTGTATGAAATTTTTTCGGCGCTTAGCTATTCTATACTGATACAAAGTGAAGTGGAAATGTGTCAAAGAGTACCATAATAGTTTTGAGTGTCCTTTAAGGAACTAGAGTTGACTTCAACCGTGACCCATACCTGAACCGCGAAAATCACAAGAAATCGACTGAAGGCAGTTTCCAATAGGACGATTAGAAAGAAATAGATTGCCGCCAGACTAATGAGCAACCAATTTCTGAAGTGAGATCTTTCCTCGCCGCATTTCTCTTCAGGTCTCAGATCACGTTTGTCTCTGAGATAGGATAGCGTCATAAAAAACGCGACCATGATACCAAAGCTTCCAACGAACACGAACGGGATCATCACACGTGAGTCCGACTTCCACTCGATGTCCGCATCAGTTCGATTGGCCATTAAATCTCTGCAAGGTCGATTTTAAGATGTGTGTATATTTTGTAAATATGACAGGTCTAGATTAACTAAGGCCAATGAGCATTTAGGTAGCTGTTCCTTTATGATGATAAAAAAAAAATACGATATAATCCAAGAACGTTCTAGGGTTGGTCACGCATTCGGCCCTTCAAATGGTATATTCGTTATATCCGATTGTAGGTATACTGCGCCGTCATTGCATACCTAAAGTAATTATTATTATAAAATATTAGTAGCAGTAGTTAGCAGTGGGCCTAGGTCGTTCCTAACTCTGCTCGCTTATATGAATGAAGTAAAATTTTAATAATTAACTTCAGCGAATACATTGGAAGTTTTGAATCGGATTTGTCTAGCTACGCTACTCCGTGCGGTGGGCAGTAAGTTCTGTTTGCGCGTTGCTTTTTCTTATTATTTATTGATTTATATGAAAAAGACGGTGATATCGATATTGCAGGACAATGAGTTTGAACAATGATTGCATTACGTATAAAAGCTGATCTTTTTATGCGCATGCCATCTATGACCGATATGTAATCAAGCAAAATCGTACCAACGGGATCGTGTGTTCGCTCTTAATTGATGCTAAAGCAAACAATAACCTATCTTTACTGAGAAATGGTTTGGCCAAAAGCGGTGCAAAAAGTGCTCCAACGCCGAACATTAACGAGTACAGCTGCAACATCGGACGAGATCCTCGACATAGAGCGACAAGCCAAACGTACGCCCCTGTAAAAATAGCTACGTAAATGTATAGTTCTTCGTTTAAAATTGCAACGTATTTTTGCTGGGCGTTAGTGACCTCCAAAGGTAAAAACAAGTACACCAAACACCAAAACCCATTTGTCTTCTCTATGTAATTTTGCCCTAAAAAGTTACCTAAAAAAACTAGACTCATTTTTACCGGACTAAGCTATTTAATTGGTACCTACTATCCTTATATGATAGCTAGATAGCCGTCCTGAAACGTTACAGACGAAAAGGTGGAAGTACATTCTGGCTGGTGCGCGCCGAACGTCCTGTTTAGGTGATAATGGTTAAAAAAAACTGTCACACAATATTATCTCCTATTATTTGCTTAAAGTATAAAAGAAAATTGCCTTAGTTTCAGGATAACTCTACTATGGCTCCTACAGGTTTGAAAGCCTTTTAAAGTAACGAGAACTTTTAGCTACCCCTTTCCCATTGTGGTTTGGTCAACTTTTTTTCATTGACGTTTTCATGTGTTCTTTTTCTCAATATAAGATATACACTATTTTAAAAATTAAAAAGTCAGCCTGACACATTTCGTTTTCAACCAGGGACCAATGCCAAATGGCAGTACTTATCGATTTTAATCGAGCGTAAGAGGTCTAATGGAAAAGTAAATAATTTTCTATTTCTTTATAAGAAATTGTTGTATCTTTTTGCTATTTTTAATATACATATAAAATATATATGCGGGTAAATAATTACCCGCGATCATCGATATCTAATAGAACTCATAAATTGTATAGATACGATAAGTTTACATTGAAGATAGGTGTGGTAGACGTACAGTAGACTATTATTACCCAGGTATATAATGCGCTTCGGTCTTCTTTTTGAATAACATTATTATGAGAACCTTCTGTGCAGGTCGCAACCTTTTGTTAGACTCTTCAACGTTAAATCGTCGATTGTGTAATTTCTATATGCAAAAATCTGTGCATTACCTGCTCAGAAAACGTTCAGTAAGTAAAGGCCGGTCGTACTAGCCGTTTCTTCAGAGCGTAACTGTTCATAACGTAGTATTCAAAAGGAACGCACTTGCGCTGTCGATCAGATATACGCAAATGCAATGAAGGAATAGGTCGATCAAGCGATACTTGGGTTATGATCGGGAACTAAATCGATATACATTAAGTAGACGTTTACTCTTTCCTTTCCTATTTGATGTCGCGTTCAACAACCAACTGAATTAAAAAAAAACAAACACACACACAGCTTTGATTTTCGCTGGACCATTTCAAAATAGAGGTTCAAAATATGTAAAAGCTTTAATCTTTGCAAAAATATTCCCTTTGTCGTGTTTGTTAAAATAGTTTTTGTTTCGAAAACACTAGACAGACTTGAATGCCATACATATATATATTCATACAGTCTTGTTCTACACTTTACTACATATCTATATATCTACGTTGCGTATACTTGCTTGAGTAGAACACTGCTGTATATTGCCTGTAGGCACCTGGTAGGTCGGAGGGTGTTTTAGTTGTGCTGTCAACCACTTGTGCTACTCAACAGTAACGAAAAATGTTTGTATTTAAATGATGTCGAAGCCAATCTCCGACATATCGTGTACTTATACAGTGGCTAAAATAAGGGTAAAGACGACGTTTCGACTATTTAAGTGGCGACGTAAATACTGAGCTGAAATAATTGTTCGGTGCTTAAATATACTGATGGTGTTATTTTTTTTTGCTATTGCTTTGCTTAGCTTTGTCTTAGTTACTCTGTTCTTTTTACACCCTATTTTTACTCATGGCCAATGTATATGCTATCAGAAAGTGTTTTCTTTGCTTTACGTACTGCCATCATTTTATTGGCTTTTGTTATACACATTTATATGAGCTATAATATAACCTTCGTCTCATTGGGGTATGATATGGCGGTGATTCCATAGCTGAGAGCACTACTCAAACGACACTCACTAGATGTAATAATGACATCTTACGCCTGAACAGCTTTTCATTTGGCTTTCTCAATTCGTTTGTGAGGTGAGACAATTGTCCTTGCTTGCAAGTCCTTATCGTATGCTGATAAAGTATAGCGGCGTGCTATTGTATAGTGGAAAAAAATATAGCATGTTCGATTCGCTATTTCTGCTATTTAACATACTTAGCTTTGTAACGCAAACAACAATTGTAATCTGGCCAAAACGAAGATAAAAGTGTTGCATTTTAGCGGCGTATGTTACCAATGCAAAAAAAAAAAAATCGGAAAGAAAAGATAAACAGACACGACGTTTCTTACGTTGCAAATATTACTAAATGAACCTTATATTCCTAATTAGGACGTCATTATTTTAATATCTACAGCACCTAGGCAGAGTCCTATTCACACCGGGCCTGTAATGACCAACGAGTTTCACTAGAAGTCTGCAGTGGCCAATTACTACATACGTGCACTCGGATATAGTGTACATACGCTAGGTCCATTGCTATAGTGGTAGTCACCGTAATCATTGCAACAGAACCACGTGGCTCGTGCGTTTCTTTATCCATAACAGGCGCAAGCAGCGCGGGTCCGTATCTAACTGATGCAACGGACTGGGTAGTCTACACGTTGTGAAAAGAAACATGGCATAGGCTACTTCAATTTCAAGCTAACGCTCAGCGATGTAACGTTTCTCTTCGCAGGTTTACGGGTGACTGAAGTCGGCCTAATTATGCCGTAGGCCCCTCCTCCTGGATAACCTTCGCAGTAATAATACCTTATGGTTATGATCAGTGATGATTAAATAAATATGAAGCAAAGGCTGACAAGTAGCCGGGGATTAAAAACCTTTACTTCATTAATTAGACACTTTTTGATGTTGACAGAGTCTACGGTGCTAATAGTGAGTACTCACTTTTGGTAAAGACGCTTTTACGATAAGCGGCTAAAGTAGTATTAGGTTATTTAATCCGGGTCTATACTTGTACGATCTAGAACTGACCGTGGGGTTATTGTTTAAATATAGATTAGCTTTTGATAAATAAGCATTGACTGGCGTACTTGCGTCAACCCACGTGAGTCAAATATGATGTGTCTTAGTAAACAGGAATTTGCTAGACTTCTTCAGAGTTTGAACCCAATCGAAGCCAGGTATTATGACTACCCACGCCTCGTAAGCAATGCGAGCTTCCAAATAAAACGACTTTTTAGCATTTAAGTAGCTGCGGAACAGCGAATGGTCCCACTGGAGTAATACTAGCAAGTCGTTTTTGAAAAGGATAGCACAAAGTACATTTGAGGTACGCCTCAGCGCAGTGAAATCCAGATCTTGTGAAGGCACTGTATTGTGTCACACGTTATTCTGGACCCTAAGAATGCAGAGTTAGCTCTCCTTTATATTTATTTCAAGTACGAACATACTTTTCCCTTAGAAAAACATATTAAGATACTTGAGCAACCCTGAGAATCGAAGTAAAGGACATTCATTGTTATCGTGATGTCAGACCCAGGCTTTATTACCGCTGGATCAATAGCCTATATAAAATGGGTGCAAAAAAAGCTACATATAGGATCCGTAATCGATGTTAGCTCCTATGTTATCATAAGCCTTATAAAAATATGTATCTAACACTTATTACTGGAAAAATGGTAGTTACACTCGTCACAATGATTTATAAGTATACAGACTTAGATTAATTACTCTCTGATGTATCTTTAAACAACTCGTAGGCGAAACCATGTTGAAACTCTATATTGCTTATCATACACAGATAACCACGTAGGGCATTAAGTAAATTCCACTTACTATCTATCTTTATTGGCTATCCAGTACGAGCAAGTGTTTCTAACATAAAATCAGTTAAATCTCAGTAGCGAGGAAGAAGACATTTTACTACTGTTAGCGAGCTCAAGCTGTTATGGTGAATCCGTTAAATCCGTGAATTATTTATCTTAATCAGGACCTGTCAGTAGCTCCGAGCGTGCACCATGTGCCATGAAGCCTATCACAAAGCGTCTCGCCTGAGTTCCGATGTAATTCTGACAATAGACAGCTTTCAGATGCTATTATTAATGAATTCATCGAAAGTTGCAGCAAGTGGCTGTTAGCAAATTTAACTTGCTTAAGGCTTCATTTACTCTAAAGAGTATAGTAGGTGCGTAGAACTCACTTTTCAGCAGAATGCACCAGGGGCTTTTTAGGCTGACAAATAAGCGGCCATTACTCATGTGTGGTACTTATCAAAATGTATGTATGTACAGACTCAGATAATGACTAAACTTGAGGGCTGAACACGAAACGTTGGAAGTTGACACGAAAGCCAATACGAAATCTCATGTAGCCACTCGTTACGTCAACTAGTTTGGCGTGCATTTTTCATACGATTAATAAATGCCGAATCAACCATGTACTAATCGTCGTTACACAAATAAATACAGGCAGTATGGTGTTATTTACGTTTTAGGGTTTAGATGAATGGTAAACAACCAAAGGCAGGTCCCGCAGAGAGCCCCTTGGTACAAACAGCCGGTGTTGAACGTTTGTTTGGTCGACATTCCTGGTTGAAAGAAGCCGTACTGCATGCCCGTGAAAAACTGTATCCATAAAAGATGCGAAAACAATAATATTAGTCTTATTCCTAGAATGTGTCCTATTCAGCGCAGGCCAGAAATGATCAGACGGCATAAATTAACTATTGCTGCAGATTCTAAACAGAAATAGCCTATTGACTGGGGCCAGCGACATGTCCGCAAGTCGGACTAACTGGAACTTATCGGAAACTCTGATTCGATTCAACCAACTTTGAAGCCTCATGCTTCATGTCGATTAGCATGCATGTATCAAAGACTTTACTGTTCAAAATAGTACTTTGGCCTGTGAGTGGAAATGCTGAGTAAACATTGTTTATATTTGGCCGGTAATAGCCACTCCAGCCGCAAGACAAACTAATCGATGTGAATTTTCAGTATTATTTTAAGATAAACTAACAGTTCTGCATCTGATCGTGTCTGAAGCGATAACAAGATACGCTCTGGCGGGCTTTTGCGCAGCACGTACCAGCTGAAAAACTTCATTCGGCCAAATAATAACGCCACTCATTCATTGAGCTAAGTAATCTCTGTCTTCGATACGTAGCCTTGATGATTCGGAATTATCAGGAAGCTCGCTCAGACGTCGTCAGCAAGCGAAATCGCCATTGGAAGTTATAAAAAATTTCTCTTCGAATCGAGAAATGCGTCGTCCTAAATGAGCTGCCGAATATCGAGCATTAACTACTAATCATGCTTGGCAGCAACTTATGGTAATCGATAGAGAACTGACAGACACTCCATCAACCTTCCACAAAAATTTATTTTTATTGGCTGGAATTCAAAAGAGCTTTGATGCATTTTTTTTTTTTTTTTTTGTTAAAAATATGACGTCCATATAGCCAAGTTTATTTGCCCTCTAGACGAAAACATTATAAAACGATTTTTGCATGTGATCGTTAATTTATAGATAAACTTTAAAAGAGACATCTGCACCATTGAAATCACTGTTATTTACCATGATGTTTCTCTTAAAAACTTGAGTGTGTATGAATGGGTTATTTGTGATCATTTTGCTAGCGAAATTCAGAATATTCACTATCTTGCACTCACAAGATAGGGAACACGGTCGATCTCAACTCGGCTAAGACGGCAAGCTAACTTAGCAAACCAAAGTAATTATAGTATAAATAAAAACGATTTAGACTAAAGTTACCCTAAAGAAAAACGAGCCACAGAGAATGTTTTTTTCGCGGAGTTCGTTTATCAGCTTTGCGTAAGCCACATTTTAAAGGGAGTCTATTTACTTGATTTAATCATGTGCGTATGTTAGTTTGTGACAAAAGGGTCCCAGTTTAAATATTTTACATTTTTCTGTGGTTGACTAGCCACTTTTTATCATAATTGTTAAATAACATCGTATAAAACGGTAGTGCAAACTTAGCTACTTGAACTTAATATGAAAAAATGAAAATTAAGCGTAATTTCCATCCAAGAGTCGGAGACTAAAAGAGCACGGAACTAACTACAGCTTGTGCAGATACCTGTTGAGAATTGACGGTGGCCAGTCGAGAACGCGTCCCACTACTACGAGTAAATAATGGTCAGGTGTTTATATACGTATGTATGCATGTATATATATATATATATATATGCTTTCGTTTGCTTAGTAGCGATACAGCATATTACAAATTATTTCTCTGTTAGTTTTACTGTTGTCATAAACGTTACCCTAGAAATTTTCTCTACGATATAATACGAATGTCTGCGGTTATGTGTTTATACAAAACGTTTTCCCACGGAAAAAAAACGTTGTTTGAGACGAATGAGGCAGTCCATAAGCGATATCTGATTTTGAATTTTTGGCGGACAATGTTTTTTCAATGTCAACTGTTTCGTAGCATTGATCACGCTTCTACTTCCTCCAAGCGTATGCTATCTTAGAATCAGGTTGGCTTTTAGTAACGTGCTTTTGTACGCGTTCATTGTATCACATTGGCCTGTTCCCTGCCAGTCGAAATAACGCTTGCCTTCTGAAGGGTAGATACGGGATTAAACACAATGTCAAGCTTACCAATTTCCATGATAGCGCCAAGCATTCCGCAAGTGAAGCTGATAGCATATGCAGACATTAGGCTTCCCAGAGGCATTAAGATGTTGCCTAAACCGATCAAGGCTCCGCAGATAATGCATACAATTTGAGCGTTTACCCGGCGATATATCAGATCAGCTGTCAATTTTTGATAATACACGCACGTTAAGAAAGTGGAAAAAAAAAAGTTATCAACTAGCCTGAATACTGTTTTCCTAATGTTAAATAGTTTATTTTTTTATATTTTGTATAAAAATAAATTTAGCAATATATTGTCAAGTGCAAATACATCGGCTGGTTAGGTTGGCATTCATTCATTCATTATGCACACATATTAATGTACATGGCTTAGTTCGTTCCATGGACGAGTTTATGACCCGTCGATACAGATATCAAATACGCATATATGGGTGCAAATTTAATATAAATTTTAGAAAAATATTTAAACAGCTATTTATGATCGAGCGTCCTATTTAATCACAAAAAAAGACAATAATGGCAACACGGAATCCTATGATGAAGACTAATACTCGCACAAATAACACTTTTTAAAGAGCGGACGTCTAAACTGGTGTCTCAGATTTGTGAACTTACCGAAAACTGGTCCAATTAAAGCACCAACGTCAGCTACCACACCGATGTTAGATGCCTTTTGGATCGACGTGTGAAATATCTCAGACAAATCTATCAGGCTAGGGCCCATCATAGAGACAATTAGGCCCTGCAATGTTCACGGATACCAGGCAGGCATCAGTACAAGAGCATTTGAAGTTACAAGCCCAAAATGCAGTTAAATATCCACTTGTAACGATAATCTACGACTATTCTAAGATAGCAGCTTTTTGCAGAAAGCATTTTCACGAGGCCTTGAGAAGATATCCAAGTACAAATATATTGCTCGATCAGACAGATCTTTTAGAAGGAAGTATATGTATCTACTGTCTCTGAACATTACTGATTATTATAGGTATTATAAGGTGGTACGAAAGTTTCGTGCTCGATGCCAATACAAATTACCGACACGTTTCGTGTCAACTAGTTGAGGTCATTTCGTCTTCCGCCGTATTCTGCCATACATCGAAGAAAAATATGTAAACAACATAATTTGTATTATCTTACTTATGCTATTTTTGTGCGGATCGTATGTTGAATTATTTTCAACTTAGTTGGGGGGGATTACACTTGCGAGAGTGATCAGACTAGAGAAATCTCGGATCGAACTAGATTTCAAGATTCGCAAATTATACAACCTATTGAAATCTCTTCGATAATATAGCATTCACATTGTGAAATTCAGTGCTAAATATAGTGTTTGACAATTGATGCGCTCAAGCAGTTCGTAAACAAAGAGGATACAGTTGCGATCTGAAAACGGTTCAGTGGCCTTCATTTTTCGAAATAAACCAATTTTCATAACCATACCCTATTTACGTTATCTTATAAACCGCCTATATTGCTTAAAACACACTAGTACCTCCAAAAGCCTAAGAACAGATCGTGCGCCTACAAACAAATCTCTCTTGACCTTCTAAGTTTGCTTATACAAAGCGTATGAACAGAATATCTACACTTCGTTGCTGACGATCAGCAGGCGATTCCTAAGGCGATATTATTTGTCACGTCAACGAAACGTCTATCTAGACTCACTTCAGTCAACGACTAGTTCTAAGGTAATTATGTATAATTTCTGAAAAAATCAAATCTTAAGTTTGTTAATTGTGCCTTTATTTAGTAATTAACAAATAGGTAATAATTCAGGCGTCTTTTTTTTTTTTTTTTCACTATATGTGCACCTAGATACGGGAGTTCACTTGAAAGTATCTAGCCATCGTGGATAAGCAACAAAATAATTGAGATTTGGGAAAGTTCATGTTCAGGCGCTCTCTTTGTGGCTAGAATCTGAATAGTCGCAAGGGCATATAGCATAGCTATATACAAATAATCAGGAAACTAGTGAAAGATGTTTAAACATACCAGGGCGACACAGGTGAGATTGATATTCGCTATCTGAAACCATTTCAGCCAGCTGGGTCCATCCCATTCCTCGCTAGTGACGAACGTTTGTTTGGGATGCATCTTCAAACGTACCGTTGAAACGCACTGATGGTACGTATTACATAATCATCGTATACAGCCTTGTAGCTACGAAGAGGTACAGTGAGAATCACCCGAGCGACCGTCGGTCTATCTTCATCACCTTATAGAGTTCGACTTGACCTGCTGAATATGACCGTTATTAAGCTTCTTTTAGCTAACAAGGCGGCTCTACGAAAGGTCCCGTACGCTGCAGGGGGAAAACATCGATTTTGCTTAAATAAGAACCTCTGAAAATTTATCTTGACAGGGCTAGTGCGCTGCCATAAAAGCGACGATAACATTTCGAAATCGCTCCTATTTGCCTGAGGCGTAATTCGACATAATATTACTTGACACGTAGTTTTAGCTTTGTGCATATCACGCATTGCCCACTCCAACTATCGTAGCAGTCTCAAAAAATGCCATATCCTAACAATATAGGTGATAGTGGGCCAGAACGGTTCCGTTTTTCTATTTCGAAAATGATCCCAACTGTCGAAGATAGTCCACTAGCTAAAACCTAGAATTTGACTATTGATTTGAAACAGTCACTTTTTCTTCCGATCGAAATGCATTACAGCCCTCGATAAGTGTTTCATCGGGTGTAAGTGCACGAACTGGGTGCTTAATATTCATTGCAATCCTATATTCTATAATTGCTATTCGATGTCATTCCTCGTCCTTTTCTTAGCAACAAACTGCAAACCCGCTATTTGAAACAGTCACAAAGTCAAACTAACAGCTGAATTGGCAATTAGTATGATCGGACTACTTTATTGCGCGTCTCAGCTGTCAGCCAGCGTAGCAGGACCTAATTTCGAAAAAAAAATGGAAGACTCGATACGAAACAAATATGCATACAGATACACCGCCGTGCGAGCTTTCGATTTTTCTGAGACCAATAGCAGCAGTTCGTGCTCTTGATGGTTTCCTTGTAATAACCTCTGAGGAGCTAGCATAGCAGAAGCGCCAAAACAGGTAAGGAATAAGATCAAAAACAAAATGCTGAGGGACCAAGTTGTTGCAATTACGGCCTTGTTATCTACATTCAACTAAATAATTATGGTAAATTATTAGGCAAACAGCACTAACGTAGTAATCCATGTTCTTCGCCTCTGCGGGTTCGTCTTATAATAAATCTGTATATTTATCTCCAAATTACTCGACTTTAATGTTATGCTGATGTTCTTTTATCGATTCCATTTTCGAAGCAAGTTCTTATCAGCTAAGACTTTGTTCAAACAGTATAGCTTCTAGTACGCACTGCGTCTGCTACTACGAATCGGCGCGACAATAATTCTAGTTGGATGTAGTGAGGTACGGGCATTGATTTTTCAGCCGCTAGCCGGTTACAAAACGAAGTCTAGACATCTCACTAATCGGATGGCTGAAAATTTCGGCTAGACTCCGTGAGAACTGACTCTAATACACATCTAGCAAGGGAATGGTTCAGGGACGGCTAAAGTTCGAACGAGGGTCTATAGATTTATTTCAGTTACTTCAGTGTCTACCGAAGAGGCGATCAATCGTTCCTTGCTATCTAGTAGTGAAAAACAGATTGAATGCCACTATGTCTATAAATCTAATGTCTATAAATCTTCATGAGAAAACACTGAAAAGATAAACTTTTGCCAATAGTATGAACTATTGAAGCTTTAGATATTAAGAAAAAAATTATGTTGAAACACTCCCTTCTCTGTTACACTCTACGTTGCCATGGAAATGATGCGAACCCTGTTCGATGCGACCCGTTGTACAGTGAATTTTACCGCACTACTCATTGGGATTTTCTGCTATTGTGTTGTTATTTCATATGGAACCGCGCTATGTAGAAGAAAATAGATGTATACATATTGAAAATTACGATAGGCGATAAACTATGATGACTATAAAGCTTATCGTAACGACAGTTATTAGTAGCAGGTCTGCGACAGTTACTAGACTCACTCAGACATTCGCGTTTTGGGCCATATGTTTACTTGCGGACCCAGCTGAAACAACATACCGTAACGGAATCCATAACCATCCTCCTGTCGGAACGTCTCAACAATATTATAATCCAGACAGAAACTTGTTTGAAGAAAAAGGCTTTTGCCCGGTGTTTTTTCCACCGTTTCCAAATTCCATCCATCCAGCATCTATTCGATCGCCAAAGTGAGAGGAGGCGAGAGCTCTACGAAGATCGGCAGATATTCCTGGCTCCCCCTGCCTCGTTCTTTATGACGCTACTTTGCTATCCGCCCCCTTCTAGACCTGAGTCGATTTATTTTGTGCACCTTACCATGTAACGTTATTGCTTGTTCTCCTACGGTACAAACATGGAACTAAACAATAAATAGATAAGACTAGAACATAATGTGGTACGGTAGCCGCTACCGATCGACTGACCTCAAGCGTGACCCTTTCGCGAACAGTCTGCTTATATGTACACGTCTTTTCGTTTGAGGACGAGGAGCTGCATTGTGTTGAGCACCGCCGCGCATTCGTCAAGATCTACCCTGGTTCAATAGTAATTGGCGACAATTTGTACTGGAGTAGCCTGGCTAATGGGGCACAGACCGGCACTGCCGTTTATCACGACAGTACGCTATTCTATCAAGTGTTAATGCAAAAACACGGCAACAAGCGCTGGCCCCGCATGCGGGCGGTAAATTAATTATTGGACCATAAGAAAATAGAAGAAAAATGGGTCCCGTCGACCTGAAATGATATGATATTCAACGTGCTTTGTTGAAAAAATCGATGTTTGCTTTTCCAGAAACTTAGGATATTTTCTAACATTTCTGTTTGGCTGTATAGCATGAGCTCTCGAATTTTTCGAGTTTTACTAGAAAAAAAAAGTTAGTTTCAAACATACACAACATCATGGGACTCTATTTATTATTATTATTATTATTATTATGCAATTTATGTGTCTAGTGGCATGTATGAACGAACGGGGCAAGTTGAATCGGACCGCCATAGGCGAGAGTGAGATAACTGCGATTGCTTTGCCTTGTTAAGTCTCGCACTTTACGTTTTCTTCTATTTTCTGTATAATAGCAACTCACAGCGGTCACTTCATAGCTCTAATTCAAGCAAATAGCAACACTGTTGAATGCATATCACTAAGCTAACTTTGGGTTATGTTTATATTTTGTTTTTCAAGTGACCACATGCTAAATTAATATGCGACTGAAGGGTAGATCTTTTGAAAAAACTTTAGCTTCTGCCTGAACAACGCCAAGGCAGTAAGGACGACGCCGCAGTAAACATATTGTCCAAAGCTTGAGCTCTGTACGCTTCATTGTCATTTCATATAGTCAACAGCAGAAGGCGTACCTGACATTTTTAGTGATCTAGGCCTACAGATATTTTATTTATGTATACTGTAATATAAACATGAGAGCTTGTTTGTTATTCTGGCCTACGATGCACCACTCAGTATTTACATAAATACATGGAGTAGAGGTAAACAATATGATTCGTCCCATATAGAGTAGAACGTGCATATAACTGGCCATCTGCATAATATTGACAAATAGTTCCCTGGTAGTATTGGCACAGATAGAAAATTTCCGTACTATTTTATATTGAAAAGTGAATTTCATATGTATATGTATAGATATTTCATACTGAACGAACTAAAAAGCTTCAGTAGGATGCAGTTCGCGGTAAACGCGAAATAACCCAATAAATAGGAAGAGACAACTCACCGCTGGTACATATATAATGCTATGTTTGTACTAAAGCAGGTACGATTAAATCCTACAAAAACGTTAGACGGCTCCCAACGTACTAGCAGTAGTCCAGAACGCGCTGTACCGATATGTCGTAAAAGGCCCCTTTGGCAATTCCGTGTCCCCTCGGCTAAAAGAGAAACATATTGGTATCATTATAAGCAGTTGCCCATTGAACTTATTGTTATCTGGACAATGCCAGTTTGTTAGATTCTGCTGTATTTATGTCGCATTTAGGCAGGCAACAGTTTTCTGGAGAATCATCTCGTTAGAAACCTCATCGTTTTCGCCAAAACTCTACCTTAAAACAATTGTGCACACGCTAAACCATATAACCTCGATGTATCGCATAAGATTTTGCTATACCTTTTGCCATCAGTGTCAACTACGTGTTATAATAATAATAATAATTAAAAACTGTAATACTACTACTTTATTTGAGAAAGAATACCGGTAAGTAGATAATTATAGTTGGGGCTTCTCGTTTTCTAACACGAAACGGCGTACTCTAGTTGACTGTACTGAAGGCCTGACTTTTCGGACGTATAAGTATATATGCATGTAAAAAGCAGAGCTATTGATAGCTCAATCTCGGCTGTAGATGAATGGAGATATCGGTTGCAGAGTTTCTTTTTTTTGTTATACCAGACGTGTTAGGTGAATCTGATGGCATATGCCTTGTTGGCTAGAATTCCTTGCATAAATAGAAAAACTGTAGAAAAAGAACTGATTTCGTCTAGTAGTGCCACTACAAAATGTTAACTTACGTACTTAAGCATAGGTGTAAGTGCCTCGTGTTTGGCCGAGTTTTGTCAAACAGTTGTAAGTGTGAGGAACATTAATCCTATTCGAAGTGGTCGCGGATCGTGTAACAATTTTCTGGACATGCTATGAATGTTCGGGCTTTGTCGAAGTTAAACACAAGCTAACACTTCGGCACTGAATTTCTGCATGGCAAAGGAATACGACCTGTTACGTTAGCTAAGACATTCTAGTCCGTCACGCAAACATGGCAAGAGTTTACGTCTGTACCGCCCTACCGACCAAACGACCATCAAGAGAAAGAGTGCTTGAACAGAAAGAGAAGAGCTTTAACCATTAGAAACGTTCGGAGAGAGCGTAAAGTCAACTCAGCCGAAGCTGCAGCTGGAATCCTTTCAGCGATTTATAAAACTAGTTTAAACAACAGATTTCTTCTTCTTGTCAGATAGATGTTATGAGCCGGGTACAAACGGTTCGAGGATCTATAGAAAAAGCAGGTTTGAATATACATTAAAAAGGATTTCCTTTTATACGTCTTTGGAAATTTATGAAGGTCACATAATCAAATTATGAGGTCACGGAAACATATGAGGTAGGATAGGGGCTAAGAGCATAAGTCGAGCAAAATGGACACACGAAGCCGTCAAATGCAAAATTCTGATTAAAGATAAAAACATATCGTACCAATCACACCGAAATAATAGCTATTCGACGAAGGTCCTATAGAGAAATGAAAGAAGCAAATTAATTCTATATGTTTTTATGTTTAAGACGTTTTTTTTTCGTCGCTGCATCGTAACGTAGCAGAATCTGTGGGTGCTAAAATAATCCTTTTCCGTGAATAATACAATCCCAAATCCAGTTATTTATATTTTATGGCATATTCTGCCGCATTTTTGAGAGCTATTATTAGATCTTGATGCATTAAGTCCCCGTCACATGTGTAAATATAAAAAAAAAAAACGCAAAATACCTGCTTTTCGACATGAAATTGCATCTTGCAAATTGTTCTTGAACTTCTAGTAGCTTGCGTCTGTGACTAAATTACGTAAGACGTTTATAATAGTATACATCAGATGATCATTACAATGTTTTTAGTAACTTAGCAGAAGTTTTTAGCTTCTGCTAAATTCGTCGACTTAATTATAAAATAGTAGACAAAAGCGGAATATTTGCTCACTCAAGTCGCGGTACTTTTGGAAGTTAGGACGTGTAATAAGAACAAGGTCCTTAGAAGGCCACGCAATTCTATGGCTTTCAAAGGAACTATATAGTCGATCATAAAAATCATATTGGAAGCGTTCCGAGATCAAAAAATACGCAGGTCTATGCCAGATCATTTGAATTTATGAGATCGGCATGTATTTCTATACATCTTTAAGTCCATTCCAAAAAAAATAAATATTCCCTTTTCGTGCTGTTTATCTATAGCGAAACCATATTTTAGACTATGCCAAGGACTAAAGGATAAGACCCAATTTTTCACCGTACAATCGACTAAACCGATTACCGCTACTGTGTCCTATTCGACAATGAGACAATGATTGCTACGCGTTTATTCTATTGAGAACGCCGAAACAAACATAATTTAACTATACTATCGCAAAATTGACCGTAATGCGATAGTAGTAATCTAATATCCCGTTTGTTAGCCTTTCCGTGTAAGATAAATTTCTGCTCCAGCTTACCGCAGGCAGTGTTGCTCTGCTTGATCTACGTAGGTCTATTTACAAGCCTGCATAAGATGCCGAGCGGTACAGGAAACTGTAATTAGTTGTCGCATTTTTTTATTGGCCTTTTATTTGCGAACGATGAAAGAGACCCAGAGCTGTCAAGCTGAATAAGCAACTTAGTCGATATATAGTACAAGCTGGAATCACCTTTTTATTTTTCCGTTTGTAACTTTAAAATCAGGTACGACTTGCAACTGTAGATATAATTCGTTTGATGTAAGCGTCGGCCCTATAAGATAGTGTAGCTTAAATCGCGCCTCCCAATAGTACTATCAAAATCGTACAGATAGTTTATCCTTGTGTAAACGTATTGTTTTCTGGAGGTCATAATGTATATTTCGCACCCATGTAGGGTGCTTAGAAGCTGATGCAACTGTAGGAGAGGCTAGATCGAGTTTGATAAGGCCATATTCCATGATATAACGATGTATGAATACTTGATCTTTTTTTAAAGGAACCGAAGGCCCAACGGCAAGCTACTTTGCACATGGACCGGTTGCAGGTGTAAAAAAAACACTAGGCTGTTATCCGGTAACTTTAGAAATTATGAACTACGCGACACCGGGAGACAAAATTTAGCTTGTAAATGTTCCAGTATCCTAGATATGCGCAAATCGATTGAATTTACCCTAGAAGAGATTAGGTCAAAAGGAAAAACATCTTTAGTCTAGAAAAGCGTTAAGTAGTCAAGTATTTCTTTTTCGAGATGCACATTAAGCCAAAAAAAAAGCCTTAAACAAAAGCACATAACGCGGATTATGCTATATTGAAACTGCTGAGGAAGAGCGGAAAAGTAAACAGATATCAGAAGCCAAAGAACAAAAACGCAATTAAGAAAATTTTTCGCAGAAACAGAGTTTGTAGTCTGTCTAAGCGCTACAACCAAAGCTAGTATTTTATATGTAACGCGTTATCGACTATAGTACCCAGATATGGAAAATGTGGGAACTGAAAAAAATCGGTCCCCCATAAATAGAGTTGAGGGCAGCCGTAAATGCGTGTGACGTGTTCCATGTGCAATTTGCAAAACCTTAAGCAACAAAAAATCTGCCAAGAGTATATGGTCGCCATCTACAAGGCATGGGTCAATCTGTATCGCTAACCAGAAAGGGGTCAGACGAGAGAATGCCGTCACCCTGGAGTTTGGTGACAGTGTCTGGTAGGTAAGGTGATGATAGATGACAATGGACATCAAGGGCATCGGTTAGTGTAAGATTCTTGCCGTAAATGGAATAATAAACGCAATCCACTGCATCAGGTTCCTCAAGAAACTTATGGACCGTTGGCACGGCGGTTGACAGCACACAGCATGGTTATTTGACAGGAATGCCAGACCCCACTCCCGTGTCTCAATTATTTCCTCGATTGAGCAAAGGACTATACAACGTTGGCTTTAACCTACTTATGCTCCCGATTTAAGTATGTGTGATTACTGGGCTTTCTGCATTTTAAAAATGGCAACTGGTTAGCAACTATCGATTTACTTCGAGAAGTCATAGATACATTACACATGGGAATGCGAATGGTAGCTATATGGTTGTCTAGAGGTTGCCAGAGTGCCGAGACGAGCATGTTAACAATTAAAAAGACGGTCTTCAATACATGTTACAAAACCATCATTCCAGCCCAACTGGTTCAAAAGTTAACTAACTTCGAAGTGCGCCGGATTCAGTTGTAACATCCCGATATAATAATGTACACGCACACGGAACGCTGTCAGAAAGCTAATTTGGCCATCTACGTTGGTATAAATCAAAGGTTCTGTGGGCGAAACTAGCGAGTAGGTAGCTATGAGGTTCAGCTCGAAAGAAAAATGTGGCTTTTGTATTAGACTCTTTAAAATTATTCAGCGGGTGGAAAATTTTGTATCGTTAGCAGACGAAAATGTTTTGCAGCAAGTTTTTGGCCATCTACGATAATAAGCTGATTAAATGTCAAGTTAGAGACAAAGATATTAGTTAGTCCTGCAAATCAAATTATTAGCCAGATTTCAATTTTTCAAAGACAAGAGCGCTGCTGAAATTCATCATAGTGTGATAAAAACACCGGTTAATGTAGCCCTGAACAAAACATTTAATTACGTCTGCAATCAGTCAGTATACGTCTACATATAATAAATGGAATAAATACGTCTGCAAGAACGGAAATTAGGAGATAAAAGGCCACAGAAGAGATGACCACACCTTAGTACGACTATGCCTTGAACGCAAAACGAGCTGCTATGATCACGGGAGCTGTGAAGCAATACAGAGCATGAACAATGAGCCCCCTATCGGCTCCATATCGGACTCCTCAAAGCGCGTATTATAAAATTATAACAAAATCACTGAAGATGAGGAGGAAAAGCGAAAAACTTGTTTCTCTCTAGCTGTATCCAGGATGGATCAATGTGTGGTCTACTCTGCAAATCATTTTAGGAACTATTACCAGCAAAACGCCAGTCTGAAGCACATCGTCGACGTAGACGAGACATAAATCAATCTGTGCCGCGAATCGGAAAAGAATCAAGGGAGAAAATGGTGTCGAGCAGTAGAAGAGGTTACTTGGGTGACTACTCCGCATCGACTCGGGCACCCGCTGGTGCTTATTCTCGCAATGGATATCAAAGGCATTGACTGTAATAATCAATGCCCTAATGTTAGCGTTGCTCGAAACCGAAACGGTCAACTCTGCCAAATATCTGAAAAGCTTCATAAATGAGCGGTGTGGCACTCGACAGCGCGTAGTGTACTTACTTTACGACCTCATCGTCGTGCTTCAGCTACGGCCTAGAACAAGGGAAACATTCGAGCGCTGGTGTCAGGCCCATCTTCTAAGTTCGCGTGATTTTCATTGATTGCATGCCTTAAAGAAGGCCGTACATAACGTAGCCTGTTCTGGCGCTGATTGGCTAAACAAGCCTTCAATAACGAGATTAGATATTGTAAAACAAGCAACAAGTAAGCAGTGTTTGAGAGTGCCCTACAGCTTTGTCCCAAACGAACAGAGAGTCAGGAGAGTCTATTGAATATTTATTGAACTATCATTGTTCTATGATATATAATTTAAAAAATAAAGATAAAAAGATAGTTCTAATTTAAAAATGTAATAAAAAAAATAATAAAATGAAAAATTTATTCAGGTTTCTCAATTCGCTAAATAGCTTTGAAGATCTGATTATGTTTTCAGTCATCTTCGTAACTGCTGATGTTTACTTCAGAGTCGTAGAAGTACTCATCCGAAGCCGCTCATCGATTTCCAACCATCTATTGACATCTAATTGTGCCTTGTTTCTCAATTGTTCTACACACCTCGTTAGTCTCCTTACTTCGCTGCAATTCACTATGCATAGGAAAAGCCACTATCTAAAGTTTAAAGCGTGTCCAGCTTTAGCTCTCTACTTTCAAGAGCGCTAAATTGCGTGACATGAAGTGACTGCATCTTGATAGGCTCGCTAATATGCTGTTTATAAATTTAGGCCTGTTCAGGCGATTAAAATTCTTGTTGTTCGTTTTATCGCTTGTTTGGAACGTACTTTTTTTTTTTTTTTTTTCTAGTCCACACAAACTTTTTAAACATTTACGCCGACTCGCACAGAAACCATTCGGACTTTATGATGAAAATGTTAGGTATCATTGCCGCCACGGTACTAGCTATTACCGGCAAATGCTCTGAGAATTGCAAATTTACTTGGAGTATTTATTTTCTTTAAGGTTTCACCAACTGCACCTATTTAAAATAACTATGAAGACCTATAATCTATTAAGTTAGCTAACTTGCGGGTTGAAAAATTTAAATACATTCTGAATTATTTAAAGTAGAACAACGACATTTTTATACATGTTAAATAGACTCTTCCCTTTATTTACACATTCATACACGAGCTCTGGGGCATTTTCAGCAATTGCATACCTGTCATTTGTATTACTTACTAAAAAATTGACGCTAGCAGGCGTCAAGTGCTTTGCGGCTCTCTAAGGTACAACTGAAATTATTTGGAGAATATGAAGCTGACGTCGGCGCTTGAGTGTGTCTTCCATGATCTTTCTTGATCTAGTCCACGATTGAAGAATGGCTTGAAAGTTGTGCGTTGTAATTAAATAATCACAATTTATGAGGCTTCTCCAAAACTGAAGCTATCTGGCAGCATTGCCGTTTTTCGACGAAATCTCGCACTGACAAATGCATCTGGCGTCTATTGCGAGAGTATAATGGCAGATAAGGTTATTCGCTTGACTTTGCAGGCGACCGAACAGTTTATGTCCGACTTTGCCCGGGGTGGCCACCGACTCACTTTCAATTTTTGACAGCACTACTCTGTCGTCTGATCCCTTTCTAATGAATAGGACGAACTGTCTCATCTGTAATGATCTGTGTCCTTTAGACTGACTCTGTGCTGATAATAGTTGCTCAAATAGTTCAGAGCGTATATTACGTGTTTCTGTCTGCTCTGGATCCAGCTAAAAAAAAAAAAAGAAAAAAAGCCAAGTTTTTTTGCCTGTTCGCTTCTTCGATCTTCAGTATTTTCATAACTACTTTTTTATAATAATAAATGTTATAGGAAGTTATTTCGTGTCGATAGGGATGGCATTTCAAAATTCCTATAGTCTCCCGAAATGTTTATTCCATTTGATGGATAAAAGTATAGTCATCTTCGATGTGGTCCTTAATTTCTGAATCCCATCCCACATGTATCGGCTAGCTATATACAAGTCACGTATTCTAGGTAATATCAGCTACATCAGGTTGGCATTGATGTCGTTGTTGTTGGAACGTCTTTATTCAGAAGATAGAGAGCGCTTTAGAGATAAGCGAAATTTCTGCATATCGCTATCGTGCATTTTGTTTTATGGCACAATGATGAAGCCACTTATGCTACACAGGCCCATAAACAAATGTGGGCCGTTTATTGATCGAGAAGGTGCGTTATTGCAAGAAAAATGCAAACCTTTGCAACCGATTGCGACAAAGTTGATCAAGTTATGGCAAAACGTGATCCATGATATTACCAAAAAACTAGACATTCAAATCATATATCACATATATATTTAGTTCTGCGGAAAAAACTGAAAGAACTTGAATGGGAAATTTCAATTCGACGCGTAGCTTTGGGTCTTATACCATCAAGCTATCATCATCATCTGTTTCGGTTTCTGCGGAACTTCCTTAATTTAATGCAGTTCAGTCAGTTTCAATAAATGCAAAAATCACTTTCACAAGTTTTTCTAGAACACAAAAGTTCTACAAAAATTCGGCGGTGATGGGATTCTGGTGTTGCCCGAAAAATAGCAGAACGTCATCATTCAAAATGGTGCAGATTTAGTCTTGTAGCATTATTTCTGGATAACAAAAAAATACTTACTTCAGCTTTTACTTGAAAACGGCTAAAACTTTTTTGATTATTCAATATTTTAGCCGATGGTTTAGATTTCTATCTGTCCGATAATACGGTTACTTTTAAACATTTATTTTTGCATTTTCTACTCACGTTTATTTATGTCATATAGATTTACACTAGATTTTCGTGTGTTTGATATGGTTGTTTTTTACCTATCAAAAGCGAAGCTAAAGTTTAGCCTGGGGATCTCTGAGCTCTATTTTCTTATGTTAAATAATAACTCTTCACGTGGTGAACATTATATATGCTTACATATCTAAGTGTTATTCTAACTGTTTTTTGGACGAATTTTTTTAAACATGTCAATTACAATACTGAAGCGGCTCATAAGGGCCGAATTTTTCTTCAATCTCTTTACTGAAGAATGGCAGAAGATTGAAAAAAAAATATGCTAAGCACTGTACCTTTATTTTGATATTGATCACTGAAACTTCATTATAAAAATAGCGAAAATACAATATTTAAAATGGGTGTTTAGCATTAAAAAAGACTTAATATTGTATTAATTTGACGTGTAAATAAAGGTTGTTTTCTGTTTTGAGTGCTTCTTTGAATGAACCTCACTTGAAATGTCAGTTGGAAAGTTACAGTAGCCAGCGTATCAAATCTTTTATTGGATAAAAATATTCTCTGAGAATTTTTTGCGAAAATATCAAAATATAAAAAAAAAGGTCATCATAGTCTAGTAAAACATTTAACAGAGTTTCTCTATGTCAATCGATGGCTTTCAGTGAGCTGAGTAAAAACATAGTACATGTTACCAAGAGTATAAACATCTTGTGCCCTCATGTGATGATAAGATGGGAATATGTTTGAAGCTATTGACGGTTTTGTTTTTAAACAGATCTCTAATACGTGTCAAACTGTAGCGAAAGATGAGGCAAACAATATATATTTTTTTTAAAGTATTTTAAAAGGTAATGCCAAAATATCGAAAACAGTTTTTTAAGAGAAATTAAACAGTTCTGAAAGGATTTTTTGGCATCAATCTATATATATATGTATATAT